AGATCTTTATTATTTCATAAAATCTAGGTGGTTGTGATACGTCTGACGTTACTTCAACATAGCTGTCTAATTAGTCCAACTTTAACAACTAGTTATCATTTTGTGTCAGTTAAAACAAAAAAAAATCTCAGAAATTTGCCGAAAATGTAAACTTATCCTACATCAGAGAGAATTGATATGATTCTATTAATTGGTGAATGCAGTGTGCATTCGCCAATTAATAGAACGCTTAAATGCTCTTGATTTTATCTAGTCCGGGTTTTTTAATGGGGATATGTTAAAGCGAGTGTTAAAGACAGTGTTTACAAAACTCTATTGTCGACAACAATGAGAGAAATGATTGTAGCTGCTTTTCGAGGTAGAACTCCACATACGCCTTTTAAAATAAAAAGATGCTTTTGAAAAGACAATCATTTTATAAAAACACTAAATCACCACAATTCACCAAAACACTTTTACTTTTACACTGGACGCGCGTTTCGTTAACCATGTCAGCATCATCAGCAGATGATTATAAACTCTTCTCCAGTTTATAATCATCTGCTGATGATGCTAACATGGTTAGCGAAACGCGCGTCCAGTGTAAAAGTAAAAGTGTTTTGGTGTATTGTGGTGATTTAGTGTTTTTATTTTGCTGTGTAACACCAAAGGTTCCAACCCTCAACTGTAATCATTTTATGCAGTTAACAGGAAAGGAGCATTTTGAGCATTTGATTTCATCTAGTTAATTTTTGTCACATAATTATAGGTTTATATATAGTTTTAATTCTGTAATAATCATCTTTTTATTACCGTTGAGTATTTTACTCTACAATTAATTAATTTAACAACAGGTGTATCACACACAACCACCTAGATTTTTTGAAATAATAAAGATCTACTGACGCAAAATCATAAAAACCAAAATATCTAGGAAAATCTTTATCTGAGGGGTAGGCAACCTAAAAAATATTTTGAAGATATATAAATTCCCCATTGAACACCGGAAAAATATACTGGGTGTTCCATTTAAAATAAAAAAGTAACTTGCTTTTAAAAGTGACTAATGTTCCATATTAATTTTGTCTAACCCTGTATAACTTTTCGGGTCAAATTTCAATCTGGTTTAACATACAATGGTTACTGTAATTAAATATCAGGCTATACAAGGTCAACTAAAATTTAGGTAGCTATTATCGAAATTTAAAATTTACTCTTCATTTTCGCAAAATGTGAAATATGTCAAAATCCTTAGTTTTTAGGTATATGCTTCTTTAATAAAACTCACCTTTATTTTTTTTCTAGAATCCGAAAATCAATTAATATATAGGGTGTTCCATTAGAAAAAACACAACTTTGATGTGTAACTTTTTTTGGAGACACCCTGTATAATTCTATATATTTTTATAAAATGCTTTCAGTTAAACTACATATGCTGCCAAAATTTCATTTCGATATAAACTACCGTTCTCATTGGAGCTTCCGCGGCGTATGAGAAGCGCCACCCTGTTATACATAAAGGGTTAAATTAAAAATATCAAAGATATTTTTTACCTTCCTGAATAATATCCAATTGACTTTGTACAGAGCGAAAATACTAGCTGTCCGTTAAAACATAATCTATTGTATTATTACAGCCAAACCTATCCTAATCGAAAAAAACGGCGTCAGCGATGGCTATGAAATGAAGATCGCTGTAATTTTATATGTAAATTTATATGGCAAATGGCATCGATCATCATTTCACAGCTAACTGGACGCCTTTTTTCGATGATAAGGTACAAATTTTACCTTTTTTAAGATCTATTTTTTGTCAAAATTACACATGCATTATATTTATCTCAAAAATTATTAGAGATAGGTATAGGAAAACATACAGAAAAAAATATGGAGAAATGAAACTAGTTTTCATAAATGTAATAACATACCAGGTGTTCTATATTTAAACGATGATGCTACTACTTTTCAATTTAATCGGTAACACAATAACGCTGAATAGCGTATGCCAGTGGAGCAGGGTCGTTTATGTAAGAATACACATTTTCAAAAAAAAATCACCCTTCTTCGTACACGTCTAACCTCTCGTCCGCCGTAAATCACCCTGTATATATTTTTTTCTTAATTCTAAGCTACAAAATTGATATTATAACACAGCATAAACAAATCATGAAATAACCACCTACATCACTCAAATTACCACTTTTATAAACAGCAGTCGTAGCCAAAGATGAGCCAAAGAATCCTTGCCAACCATCTCCTTGTGGACCGAATAGCCAATGCCGTGAAATTAATAAGCAAGCGGTGTGTTCCTGCTTGCCGGATTACATCGGCAATCCGCCAAACTGCAGACCGGAATGTACGGTGAGCTCTGAATGTGCTCAGAACAAAGCGTGCATCAATCAGAAATGTACCGATCCCTGCCCTGGAACTTGCGGCCTGAACACTCAGTGTAACGTAGTGAACCACAGCCCCATCTGTAGTTGTCTGTCGGGTCATACAGGCGATCCATTCACTAGGTGTTACCCAATTCCGCGTAAGTGTAAATTGAATGTATCAATCGACATACCTATAATTATGCAGGATGTTTCAGAATGGAATTCTAATATTTAGGAATTTTATTTAGTTACTAACTCAAGCCCCTTTAATTTTTAAATTATGAGAATGTTTATAACCTAAATAATCAGAAGATTTTTGGCAAGTGAGATTTTTAACTTTATTTGTTGATTTGAAAGAATTTGAATTGAGATGAAAGAACAAAATATTCTTTCTTAATTATTAGTTAAATACTATTCTAAAAAGCCATTGGATTCAGAATCCACGAAAATAAATTTCTCTTTAATTTCAATGTGAGCATTCCGAACGTCAAAATAAGTGGTAGTAATTTTCAGTTAGTAGGAAAATCATTAAAGCTTCATTCGGAACCTCAAAATCAGTGGAATAAATTAGTAGTTTCAATTAGCGTAGAAGTTTGCCCATCTAATTTTAATGTAAGCATTCAGAACGTCATAATTAGTAGTAGTAATTCTCAATTAGTTGCAAAAGTTAACAAACTTGACTTTTCCACTAATTATACTTAAAAATTTGCGAGGAATGTTATTTTGGTCCTTGATTTTCAGCCGTCAAGAAAAATGTTGGTTAGAAATCACAAGTTTATTGTTTTATAAGCTAATTATTATGCTTTTTCTCTGGATACAACAGATTACTGCAAGCTGTTGCTAGGATATATTATTAATTTTAATTGTGTTTTTTGGACATTGTAAATGATCGTAAACTAAATAGTATAAAGTGTAATTGAAACCACTAATTTATTTCACTAATTGGGAGGTTCTGAATGAAGCTTAAGAACTCTAACTATAGAAATTTTAAAACATTTTCCGATGCATGTCATCAATTTTCAGTGACAAGCGATGGCGACAGCGCTGCCAGATTGTGATGGATTTATGAGATGAATCTTAATTTAAAAGTGACAAACAATATATTTAGTATATAATTTTTATATATTTCTTTAAGGCAGCAGCTACTCGCTACAAATTGAAATAAGTAGAAATAACTTGAAAGTGGTATAATGTGCACCAATCAAACTTACTTCTCTGTCTGCATTCAAGGATAATAAAGGACCTCAGGGAAGCTACAAGCGCTTTGCTTCGACTGTTTAAAGGCTTCGGTATATTTTCATTCCACAATTTCAAAAAATGCAATAAAAATCTCAAAAATTTAGTTCTTAAAAGAACTGTTTGTGCTTAGAAGTACGATTTAAGAAAAAAAAACTATGAAAAACGGCAAAAAACGAGAATTACTCCCAATAATTCAACAACACGATATTATACAAAATAATGACTGACACTAGGATAATTTTCAAATAATACACGACAACATTGCTGAACATGTCGCAATGTGACCAACAAGGCGATAATAAAAATCTGTTTACACTAATTTTTGCAGCTGTAATCTAAATAAAATATCTGTTACAATCATTTGCTCTATAAAGTATAATAAAGAGCTGCTTGGTATCTTAAATTAGTCAACAAATTTAAACATTTTTGCTAAAATTTCATTTACTCAGGTTTGTAGGCTTTAGTGTCAATTTCGATGTGATTGATGACGTACATCGGAAAATGTTTTAAAATTTCTACAGTAGTTAACTTTTCCACTAATTATAGTATAATATATCTCTGTTTTGAGATAATTCAGAATTTGCGTGTAATGTCATTTTGGCTTTTAATTATCATCCGTTAAAAAAACTGTGGTTAGAAATAAAAGTTTATTGTTTTATAAGCTAATTATTAAGCTTTTTCTATGGATACAACGATACAACTGACTACCGCAAGCTGTTTCTAGGATATTCTATTAATTTTAATTGTATTTTTTAGACATTGTCAATGGTAGTAAACTAAACTGGATATTTTAAGATATACTTTTTAAAATATTTTTGTCTTACTGGCACTTTTAGTATAACCGGAAGTAGCTGCCAATTTGGTTATTTTAAATAGAACCAATTACACAGGACCATTCATATTATTCGATCCGGAGCTAAAAGATTAATTTTTTTTTATAAGTCTTAGGTCTTTCAAGGACCAGTAGAGCTACAATTTAGAATTATTTTCAAAAGATACAGAGTGCCAAATAAATAAAAATATTAAATATATACACGCCTTGTATATTATTAAATTTTTGGTTTCTAAGATTAAGATAAAGATACATTTTGTTTCAACATTTACCTTACATAACCATAACGTCTTAAAATATTTACAATTTACAATTACTAGATTTTTTCTTTAAACATTGTGCTGCAATAATAAAAATAGTACCTACTAGTTTAGATAGGGTGTCTAAAAATTAAAGCTTCATTCAGAATCACGAAATTAGTGGAATAAATTAGTGGTTTCAATTATATTTTTTAGTTTACGCTCATTCACAATGTCTAAAAACACAATTAAAATTAATAGAATATACTAGTGACAGGAAGTCAGTTCTATCCATAGAGAAAGCCTAATATTTTGCTTATAAAACAATAAACTTTTGATTTCTAACCACAATTTCTCTTGAAGGATGATAATTAAAGACCAAAATGGCATTCCTCGCAGATTAAAGTATGGTTAGTGGCAAAAGTTAAAGGTTTGTTAACTTTTTTCTATTAATTGAAAGTTACTACCATTAATTTTGACGTTGTTAGAGGAACAAATTTTGACGCTAATTAAAACCACTAATTTCGAGGTTCCGAATGTAGATTGATTCTAAATAATTACTAGCTTTAAAAAGCACTATATACTTGTTTGATTTAAATGGTACACTCTGTAAATTTTACTAACATCAGAAGTTGATCATAATTTTCTATCAAATTGTATTGCTAATTCTTTCGTTTTTTGTAAATTCGCTAACAGTTGCATATACAGTTTTCGGCTATTTTTGGATTATATGGAAAAAAATGTATATTATACTCACATTCTACTGTCCTTCCATTTTTCTTTCGTTGCTTTTAATTTTTTATTTTAGTAATTAGAGATTGCAAATATACTGGGGGAAGAGAGAAATTGTGTTTCTTTAAGTATTTTTTCAACCAAACAATCTTACGGGACCGGGAAGTATAAAAGTATGTAGTAAAGTCTAGCTGTAGTTGAGATTTCGTTTAGACGCTTCATAATTTGTCAATACATGATACTAACTTCATTTTTCCACCCAGACTTGATTGGTCCAATTAATTGCAAATGTATGCCTTAAACATAAAGGAATATTGTAATTTTTAAGAACATTAGAACATTGTACTTAAACCACTATAAGCAAATTAGTCGTAAAAACAAATTTTATACTTCATAATATGTCAGTATATGATAATCAGTTTGTTTTTTTTTTCACCCGAACTTTAGTTCCATTACTTGTAACTTTATTTCTTAAGCATAAGATACGATTGTAATTAAATTGTTTCTTTTTTTCTTTAACCATTAGATTATAATCATGTAATTTTTTTCTTACTTTGGTATGAGGTTATATAATAAATTTAAAGATAGAAAACTTTTTTTTTATTTATGCGACGTTTCGCTCCAACACAGTGGCCTTTTTCAGGCACTTTATTCCAAAAACTTGAAGTCGTCTTGCCAGCACCAGTCTGTATCTCATACTGGCAATACGACTTCAAGATTTTAGAATAAAGTGTCTGAAAAAGCCCACTATGTTGGAGTGAAACGTCGACGTCGGTCGCATAAATAAAAAAAAGAAATTTTTCCATCTTTTAATTTATTATATAACCTCATACCCAGGAAAGGAAAAAAATTACATAAATTGTAATTAAACAATTATAAGCAAATTAGTCCTAAAGACAGATTTATTAAAGTTACATGACGTTAATAAAATTGTTTACTGAAATTATGTAGGCACATATTTTACACAAAGGAAATTTCTATTATCAAATTCCAATCTGTTATCAATTAACCTACAACGACCTGAAAATATAATTACTCCTCCCCCAGTATATTTTTAATCCCTTAGGATAATGGAATGTGAGTATATAATTATTTTTCCATATAATCCAAAAATAGCCGAAAAACGTTTATGCAATAATTACCGTAAATTCAGACTTTATTTATGATTATTAATCAAGGTAAAATGGAATATTTACATTTTAGAATTTTGTGAAACAAGTAACAAATTAACAAAAATACAGCATTCAATTTTGAAACATCCTGTAAATTGCGGGGTTTCTACTGTAAACACTATAATTTCCATAGATAGATTTCCTTCAATCAGATATTTTTAAATTCACCCTTTTAGCTCCCACACCAACTATAATTGAAGAAGTTAACCCATGCATACCATCACCTTGTGGTCCTAACGCAGAGTGTCAGAATGTACAGGGATCCCCCATATGCAGATGTTTGCCTACATTCATTGGAAATCCACCCAACTGTAGACCCGAATGCGTTATCAATCAAGAATGCTCTAGTAACTTAGCCTGCATTAGACAAAAATGTTCAGACCCATGTCCAGGCTCTTGTGGATTCGGCGCTCAATGTTCTGTAATAAATCACACACCGATTTGTAGTTGTCCAGACGGATACACCGGTGATCCGTTTGTTAATTGTGTCCTTAAACCTCCCGAGGCTCCAAAACCAGTGGAAACTGATCCATGTAATCCATCTCCATGCGGATCCAATGCTCAATGTGCCAATGGAATATGTACATGTTTGCCTGAATATCAGGGTGATCCTTACAGAGGATGTAGGCCAGAATGTGTCTTAAATAGTGACTGTCCACGGGACAGAGCCTGTATCAGAAATAAGTGTGTTGACCCTTGTCCTGGAACCTGTGGAACTAATACTGTATGCTCTGTAATAAACCATATTCCTATGTGTTCATGCATTGACGGATATACAGGAAATGCCTTTGTGATTTGTTCACGGATTCCACGTAAGAGAAAATTTGATATAATAGTGACTGGCAAAAAGTTTACAACAAATAGAAAAAATTACAAGATCGGAAAATTATATTTTAAAATTTACACTTTTTAGGATAATAATAATTTACTTTTTCAATTTTTTCTTCCCAATGTTTCAATAGATTTTTAATGCAAAATATCATTAGGTAGTTACTTTTGTGGTAGCTTTCAACATTTTTGATAAAATTTCACTTTTTCTTCAACATTCAAATCCATATTGAAAATCCCGTCATTTAAAACCCACCACTAATACAGGGTGGTTCCAACTGTATTCCGGAAACTTTGGCAGCATATTCTGCAGATAAAAATAAGTAAACAACTTCGTATAAATGTATGTCCCAAAATACTTATTTTCGGAGATACAGTTTCATTTTTATTTCGATTTTTTCCAGATAATTTCTGATCAAAATTGGTGTCTGGGAGCTTTTTGACATGAGAAATTTGATTTTGATATCAATGATTTTTTACGTAAAAAATGTCTCTTGTACTTGTGAGCTAAAAATCTCTACGAGCCACCGTTCTCAAGATATTAAGAATGAAAATAGTAAATACATGTCATTATTGACAAAAAAATAAACATGTTGAGTAGATAGTTATATCATAGTTATATCACTGTATTGATAAATTTTGGAACTTTTTATTTTCTTATATTAATCATCATAATTTTTTTATCGAAAAAACTATGATAAAACAGATTCTGTTTAACTTTTATTACAAAAATATTTCAAATTTATTATTTCAGTCTAATATGTTTAATTATTAACAGTCAACATGTTTAATTATGTCAATGATGACAGGTATTGATAATTTCGATTCCAAATATCTCGAGAACCGTTACTCGTAGCGATTTTTACTAAGAGACCTTTTTTAAGTAAAAAACGTCGTAAATGTATATTTTTTACTCAGTAGTTTTATACAGGTACAAACTAAAAGTTATTACTCTTCATACCAGTTAAAAATATGTAGGTGGCGCCCTCTACAACTAGGAGTCATAAAAATCCTTTATGGGTATTTCGCCACTGCACTACAAGAAAATCTACAAAATAAAATAGTTATTTTTTGTAAACACTTCTGGGTTAAATCTAAACGGACACTGTCAGAAGTTAAGTTTACAGTTATACAAATTTGCTTAACAAAGAAAAAAATGTTTAACGTTTCGGAAAGTTTATCTTTTCCGTCGTCGGAAGCAAAAAAAATACAAAGAATAAGAAAAAAAAATATTTAAACTATTTAAATTCAACTATTCGAGAACACTAGGTTTAACGCAGAAGTGTTTACAAAAAATAACTATTTTATTTTGTATATTTTCTTGCAGTGCAGTGGCGAAATACCCATAAAGGATTTTTTTTTGGAGAGATGAATCCGCCACATAGGTAAAGACATTTTTTAGGAGTCATATAGACATCAAAATAAATTTCTCATGTCAAAAAACTCAGACACCAATTTTCATCCAAATATTGATGTTACTTCAGAAATTATTTGGAAACAAATCGAAATAAAAATGAAACTTCTACTCCCTGTATCTCCGAAACTAAGCATTTTTAGACATACATTTATACGAACTTCTTTACTTATTTTTATCCAAGTTTCGGGAATACAGTTCGGACCACCCTGTATATGTTTATGTAAAGTGCCTGCGTTACTGGTTTTACATACATAATATAGCTATGGAGCTTGCTGATCTAATTCAACATAGGGCTTTTAATTGATAATAAACAGACAATTTATTGCAAACTTTTTGGCGGATTCTATTTAGTTTTTCATTAAGACATTTAAAAGAGTTTTTTCCTTACTTATAAACGTTTTAGCCGAAGCACCTAAAAACCCATGTAATCCATCACCATGTGGACCAAATACTCAATGTCGTGAGATAAATGGACAAGCTGTTTGTTCTTGTGTACCAAACTTCATCGGATCACCACCTACATGTAGACCCGAATGCGTAACTAGTTCCGAATGTCCCCTAAATCAAGCCTGTATTAATCAAAAGTGTATTGATCCATGTCCAGGCACTTGCGGCATAAACGCCCTATGTCAAGTGATTAATCATAATCCGATATGCACTTGTTCCAACGGATTCACTGGCGATCCGTTCATTAGATGCACGCAAATTCGTAAGACAAACTCTAACAAGAATAATTCTAAACTAACAAACGTAACTATTTTAGAACAAGTACCAGTCGAATACAAGAATCCTTGTAATCCTTCTCCGTGTGGTCCAAACGCGCAGTGTAGAGAAATAAACGGATCTCCATCGTGTTCTTGTTTGGAAAATTATATTGGACAGCCGCCCAATTGCAAACCAGAGTGTGTCAGCAATAGTGAATGCCCCAATCATTTGGCGTGTATAAATCAAAAATGCAAAGACCCGTGTCCAGGGACTTGCGGACAAAACACCGAATGTCGAGTTATTAGTCATACCCCTAATTGTGTATGTTTACCTGGATTTACTGGAGATCCATTTACTATCTGCTCTTTAGAAGGTACTTTACATTAATATACAATAATATTTTTAATAAACAATAACACTTTTCATTCTTAAAGTAAATATAATTAAAACGTATTTTTGAAGTGAAACTTCTTTACGCTAGCGAGAGGAAAAGTGATAGCGGCACATGCCGCAGTTGCCACAGCTACCCCATTCGGGGTAGATCTTTGTAAAACAATTTAACCCCGCTAACTCGGGATGAAAAATAAGCTTGTGGCAACGATCTGTGCCATACGCTGCTAAGAAAATCACTATAATAAACTTGATACTATACCAGCTTTGATTTCATGCATATTTTCATCGATAACTTTGTAGCTTATTAATAACGGTCTATGTAAAGCATCTAGCTCATTTGGCAGCTCAGAATTAGAATTTAGAGTTGGTAACTCGCATTTTCATTGGAGGAGAATGTCATATTTATTTCATACCAATAATGAACGAGAATATTCGTATCATTTAATAAAGTTACTGTAAATCACTATAAATAATGAATTGTTTGTAAATGAGCTGTAATTTCTGTGTTATTAATCCGGTAAATGATGGAGATAAACAATTGTGATTGATTAAAATTTTAATTTAAGATGAAACTTTTGTTAACAATGATATAATGAAGAATAATGACCAAAATAATGACAGGTGACATCTGTCTAAAAAAGATAGCGATTTAGAGTAACAATTTGGTTATGTAAAATTTAGAGTGACAATATTGATTATGCAAAAGAAATACATATTCTACGAGTTTACTGGTTGTCTAACGATTAACATTAACTTAAAAATAAATCGCCAACATGAACAAAACATTTAAACAAAAACAGACCACAGATCACACAAAACAAATTGTTGGTTAGAAGCAGTTACTAGTAGTTAGAGATATAGATGTAGTAGTATTTTGGTTTAATGGTCACAGCTATATATACGGTTTTATATTAACTCTATTTTTTTGAAGTTTATAAAAAGCATTAAAAAAAAAGATATCCTTCAAATCTTCCAATTTAATAGTTGTTAGTAAGAAGTTTCACTTCAAATATGCGCACATAGTGCACACATTTTTTTTAATATTTTGTATCGGTATTATAAACAGATGTACAATTTACAGTGAAACCTATACCTGTTGAAAGGCCCACACCCTGCTTACCTTCTCCATGTGGAGCAAATGCTATTTGTAGAGAACAAAATGGTGCCGGAACTTGCTCGTGCTTACCTGAATTTATCGGAAATGCCTATGAAAGTTGTAGACCAGAATGCACTATTAATTCCGATTGTCCATCCAATAAAGCTTGCTTAAGAAATAAATGCGTAGACCCTTGTCCAGGCACTTGTGGACAGAATGCAGAATGTCAAGTCGTTAATCATTTACCATCTTGTACATGTCTACCGAGATTCACTGGTGATCCATTCCGATTCTGTCATTTAATACCCCCTGAAGGTAAGAATTATTACTAAGAAAATTATTTTTTTTAACTTTCTTACTTTTAGTAACTAAAGATGAAGGTACTCCTTGTCAACCATCACCTTGTGGACCTAATAGTCAATGTCGCGAAGTAAACGGTCAAGCAGTGTGTTCTTGTTTGCCTAATTATATCGGTAGTCCCCCTGGTTGCAGACCTGAGTGTACTGTGAGCACAGAATGTCCCAGTACAAAAGCATGTATTAATCAAAAATGTACTGATCCTTGTCCTGGAACGTGTGGATTAAACGCAAACTGTCAAGTAGTAAACCATAGCCCTATATGTAGTTGCACGAATGGATTTACGGGTGATCCGTTTACGAGATGTTATGCCATACCACCTCCAGAACCAGCAAAACCGATTTATGACCAAAATCCTTGTTTGCCTTCACCGTGTGGACCAAATAGTCAATGTCGCGATATCGGTGGAAATCCGTCATGTTCCTGCTTACCAACATACATAGGAAGCCCACCCAAGTGTCGTCCAGAGTGTACTATTAATTCTGAATGCTCCAGTAACTTGGCTTGTATACAACAGAAGTGCAGAGATCCATGTCCAGGTTCATGTGGCACTAATGCCCAGTGCTCTGTAATTAATCACACACCAATATGCACCTGTATTGAGGGATATATTGGTGATCCGTTTACTTTATGTTCTCCTAAACCACCTGCATTACCAGAACCAGTAGAAACTGATCCGTGCAATCCTTCACCTTGTGGTGTTAATACTCGGTGCAATGATGGGGTTTGTACATGCCTTCCAGAATATCAAGGAGATCCGTATCGTGGATGCAGACCTGAATGTGTACTTAACGCTGATTGTCCAAAAGATCGAACATGCATTAGAAATAAATGTCAAGATCCTTGCCCTGGTACATGTGGTACTAATGCTGAATGCGCAGTTATTAATCATATTCCAATTTGTTCCTGCTTGACAGGATACACAGGAAATGCTTTCGTTATTTGTTCCAAGATTCCAGGTATAGTTATTAAAGTCGACATGACTTTAATCTTTATTAATTATACTATTACATTTCAGTTGAGATTCCTAAAAATCCATGCCAACCTTCGCCATGTGGTCCCAATAGCCAATGTCGTGAAATTAATGGCCAAGCGGTATGCTCGTGTGTACCAGGTTTTATCGGAAGTCCACCAACCTGCCGGCCGGAATGCGTTACTAGTTCCGAATGTGCTCTAAATAAAGCGTGTCTTAATCAAAAATGCATTGATCCTTGCCCAGGCACATGTGGTTTAAATGCACAATGCCAAGTTGTTAATCATAATCCTATTTGCAGTTGTCTACCAGGTCAAACAGGCGATCCCTTTACTAGATGTTTACCAATAAGTAATATTTAAATAGTAATATTTTATAGAAGTTTATAATTAATTAAATGACATTTTAGGAGAAGAACCTGTAGTAGCGACCAATCCTTGTCAACCAAATCCTTGTGGCCCGAATGCTCAATGTAAAGCTATCGGAGACTCGCCATCTTGTTCTTGTCTTTTAGATTTTATCGGTACCCCACCAAACTGTCGTCCGGAATGTGTCAGCAATAGTGAATGCGCCTCTCATCTTGCCTGTATTAATCAAAAGTGTAAAGATCCTTGCCCAGGCAATTGCGGACAAAATGCAGAATGCCGAGTAGTAAGTCACACACCAAACTGCGTATGTCTTCCAGGATTTATAGGCAATCCATTTGTCAATTGTATTCAAAAACAACAAGACGTCGTTGTTGAAAGACCCACACCATGCATACCTTCACCTTGCGGTGCTAACGCATTGTGTAGAGAACAAAATGGAGCAGGTGCCTGTCAATGTATCGATGATTATATAGGAAATCCCTACGAAGGATGTAGACCTGAGTGTACACTTAACTCCGATTGTCCATCAAATAAAGCTTGTATTAATAACAAATGTAAAGACCCTTGTCCAGGATCGTGCGGTGCCAATGCACAGTGTCAAGTAATTAATCATTTACCATCTTGTACTTGCATTGTAGGATATACAGGCGATCCTTTCCGATACTGTACTATAGTCATTGAAGAACGTAAGTTGACAAATACATTATTATCGATATTTACATAATTTCAAAAATTCATAAACATTCTAGCTGTAATACCAGCAACTCTTAACCCATGCCAACCAAATCCATGTGGACCCAACAGTCAATGTCGTGAAATAAATGGACAAGCCGTATGCTCCTGTCTCCCAGAATACATTGGAAGTCCCCCAGGCTGTAGACCAGAATGCGTTGTGAGCTCTGAATGTTTATCAGATAAGGCTTGTGTAAATAAGAAATGTATTGATCCATGCCCGGGTACCTGCGGTTTAAACGCGAATTGTCAGGTCATAAATCATAGTCCAATTTGCAGTTGCAAAAATGGATTTACCGGTGATCCATTCACTCGTTGTTACAATGTACCAGGTACACACCATCATAAATACAGATTTTTTTGGTAAAAATTAACTCACAATATATTTTTAGAACTTCCACCTGAACCTGAAAGGCCAACAATCAAAAATCCTTGCGTACCATCACCTTGCGGACCCAATTCACAATGTCAAGATATCGGCGGTCTACCATCTTGTTCCTGTTTGAGAAATTATATTGGGGCACCACCAAATTGCAAACCGGAATGTACAATAAATTCCGAATGCCCAAGTAACCAAGCTTGCATACAGCAAAAATGTACGGATCCATGCCCTGGCTTATGTGGCACTGGAGCTCAATGTTCCACTTTTAATCACATTCCAATATGTACATGCTTAGAAGGCTATATTGGTGATCCGTTTACTGTATGTAATGTAAAGCCTGCCGAAGCACCCATAGAACAAAAAGATCCTTGTAATCCCTCACCATGTGGCTCAAATGCTCAATGTGATAATGGAGTTTGTACTTGTATCATCGAATACCAAGGCGATCCTTACATTGGTTGTAGACCAGAATGCCTTCTTAACAACGAATGTCCAAAAAATAAAGCTTGCATCAGAAATAAATGTGTTGACCCTTGCCCAGGAGTTTGCGGCCAAAATGCTGAATGCAATGTTATTAACCATATTCCTAGTTGTACTTGTATTAGCGGATATCAAGGAAACGCTTTTATTAGTTGCAATCTGATACCACAGGAAGTCCCTAAAAATCCTTGCAATCCTTCGCCTTGTGGGCCTAATAGCCAATGTAGAGAAGTTAATGGGCAAGCAGTGTGCTCCTGTGTTCCAGGATATATTGGAAGTCCGCCAACATGTAGGCCCGAGTGTGTTATCTCTAACGAGTGTCCTTTGAATAAAGCATGCGTTAACCAAAAATGTATTGATCCTTGTCCAGGAACGTGTGGGATTAATACATTATGTCAAGTTGTGAATCACAATCCAATTTGTAGTTGCGTATCAAAATACACAGGAGATCCATTTACTAGATGTATTCCAATCGGTAATTTTTAAAATATTCATAGAAAACTTAGAAAGAATATTAATTTTATATATAATTTCAGTGGAGGAACCTATTGTCTCAGTGGATCCTTGTAATCCATCACCTTGCGGTCCTAATGCTATTTGTAAGGATATAGGTGGTTCACCATCATGTTCTTGTTTACCTGAATATATTGGATCTCCACCAAACTGTCGTCCAGAATGCGTTAGTAACAGCGACTGTGCAGCTAACTTGGCTTGTATAAACCAAAAATGTAAAGATCCATGTCCTGGAATCTGTGGTCAGAATGCAGAATGCAAGGTTGTTAGTCACACACCAAATTGTGTTTGCATCCCTGGTTACGTAGGAAATCCCTTTATACAGTGTAATATTATAGAAGGTATTATAGTGTAAATTATTATTTTTTAAACATATTTTTAATTGATTAAAATTTTAGTTCCACCGAGAGAGCAAATTAATCCTTGTTACCCCTCACCCTGTGGTTCAAACGCTATATGTAGGGAATCGAACAAGGCTGGTTCTTGTAGTTGCATTGAAGGGTATCTGGGTAATCCTTACGAAGGGTGTAGACCTGAGTGTGTTTTAAATTCTGATTGTCCGTCAAATAAAGCTTGTGTGCGTAATCATTGTGAAGACCCTTGCCCCGGAACCTGTGGTCAAAACGCGGAATGTCAAGTTATCAACCACTTACCATCTTGTACCTGCTTTACTGGTTATACTGGTGATCCATTCCGTTACTGCAATGTAATTACACAAGAACTTCGTAAGTATTTGTTTTCACTCTGTCGTTGAACATACTTATTTCCACATCACAACTTATTTCTAGCACAAGAACCAATAAATCCATGCACACCAAATCCATGCGGGCCTAATAGCCAATGTCGGGAAGCTAACAATCAAGCAGTGTGTTCTTGCTTACCTAATTACATTGGTAGTCCCCCTAGTTGTAGACCGGAATGCACCGTCAGCTCTGAGTGTGCTCAAAACAAAGCATGCATAAATCAAAAATGTGTAGATCCATGTCCGGGAACTTGTGGTATTAATGCTCAGTGCAACGTTATAAATCATAGCCCGATATGCTCTTGTAACGTTGGGCACACAGGTGATCCATTCACGAGATGTTATCCAATACCACGTAAGATTTGCTTTTCAAATTACACACATACATCTAACAATATTTTTTCAGCTCCTCCTAAAGAACAACCGGAACCTGTTATTACAAACCCATGTGTACCATCTCCTTGTGGTCCACATTCAATATGTCAAAATATTAATGGCGCTCCTTCATGCTCTTGTATTAGCAACTACATAGGAAGTCCACCAAATTGTAGACCAGAATGTACAATTAATTCAGAATGCGTCAGTCGTCTGGCATGTATTAACGAGAAATGTAGAGATCCATGCCCTGGATCTTGTGGACTTGGTGCCCAATGTTCTGTTATAAATCACACCCCTATTTGTATCTGTCCTGAAGGATATACCGGAGATCCGTTCACTAGTTGTATATTAAAGCCTGTACTACCAGCACCTGTTGAGGAAGATCGTTGCAACCCATCACCTTGCGGATCAAATGCAATTTGTAATGAAGGAATTTGCACTTGCTTACCTGAATATCAAGGTAACCCCTACATCGGTTGTCGACCGGAATGTGTGCTTAACACAGATTGTTCCCGAGATAAAGCATGTATTAACCAAAAATGCCGTGATCCGTGCCCTGGTACCTGTGGTCAGAATGCCGAATGCTCTGTAATTAATCATATTCCAAATTGTAACTGTATACAAGGTTATATTGGGGATCCATTTGTATTGTGTTCCAAAATACCTCCAGAAATACCAAAGAATCCTTGCAATCCGTCACCATGTGGTCCAAATAGTCAATGCCGAGAGATAAACGGCCAAGCAGTTTGCTCTTGTGTTCCTGGATATATAGGAAGCCCTCCAACTTGCAGACCGGAATGCGTTACTTCTACAGATTGTCCATTAAACCAAGCTTGTTTAAATCAAGTATGCATAGATCCATGCCCAGGAACGTGTGGCTTAAACGCCTTATGTCAAGTGATCAATCATAATCCGGTGTGTAGTTGTCAATCTAGATATACCGGAGATCCCTTCACTAGGTGTTTGCCTATAAGTAAGTACAGGAATAAAATAATATATTCAGTTAAAAAGGGATATATTTTAGGAGAAGAACCGGTCGTAACAACAAATCCTTGCGTTCCATCACCGTGTGGTCCAAATTCGGAATGTAGAGAGATCAATGGATCTCCGTCGTGTTCTTGTTTGTCAGAGTTCATAGGATCTCCACCCAATTGTCGTCCAGAATGTATTGGCAACAGCGAATGTGCAAATCATTTAGCATGTATTAACAACAAATGTAAAGACCCGTGTCCAGGAACGTGCGGACAAAACGCCGAATGCCGCGTAGTTAGTCACACCCCGAACTGTTACTGCTTACCTAATTATTACGGAAATCCATTCCAGTCTTGTGCAATTGCCGAAGGTATATTTCAGTATAACCCGACATTTTTACGTATGTTATTAAAATTTTATTTAAATTTAGTTCCAGCTAAACCGGAAATAACCAATCCATGCATCCCAACACCATGTGGTATTAATGCTATTTGCAAGGAACAAAGAGGCGCAGGTTCATGCGTTTGTATACCAGAATTTATAGGCAATCCTTATGAAGGTTGCCGACCTGAATGTTCATTAAATTCAGACTGTCCCTCAAACAAAGCTTGCATTAACAATAAATGCAAAGATCCTTGCCCAGGAACTTGCGGTCTTAACTCACAATGTCAAGTTATTAATCACTTACCGTCGTGTACTTGCATATTTGGATATACCGGGGATCCATTCAGAAATTGTTATCTTATACCAAAGGAAGAACGTAAGGCGAAAATTATCTCGTTAAGTAGACAAACCTTAATTTCATATCAAAATATTTTTATTTTCAGCTGTTGTTGTACCTAGCAATCCTTGTCAGCCATCACCTTGCGGTCCTAACAGTCAATGTCGCGAAATAAACAGTCAAGCTGTCTGTTCTTGCCTCCCAGAATATACAGGAACCCCACCTAACTGTAGACCTGAGTGTACAGTTAGCTCGGAATGTCCGCAAAATAAAGCATGTATAAACCAGAAATGCGCTGACCCCTGTCCTGGTACTTGTGGCTTGAGCACTCAATGCACAGTTATTAATCATAGTCCAATATGTAGTTGTCTCGCTGGATACACCGGTGATCCATTTACTAGATGTTATACATTGCCACGTAAGACTGATTTCTTCAATTATTAAACCTGTTTTAAAATGTATCGATTTTAGCACCACCACCTAGCCCTCCAACCACAATTGTGGAGACCAACCCCTGCGTACCATCACCTTGCGGTCCAAATAGTCAATGCAGGAATGTAGGAGGCAATCCAAGTTGTTCCTGTTTAGTTAGCTACATAGGGGCACCACCTAAATGCCGACCAGAATGTGTGGTCAATTCGGAGTGTCCCAGTAATACGGCTTGTATAAATAAGAAATGTATAGATCCATGTCCAGGATCGTGTGGTATCGGTGCATCTTGTCGTGTCATAAATCATAGTCCAACATGCACGTGCCCTACAGGTTATATTGGAGATGCTTTTATTGCGTGCACACCTAAACCACTACCACCAAGTAAGAAATATATTATGAAAAATATGCCCTATAATAATATAATTAACATTTTAGCACCCGTATATCAAGATTTATGCTCTCCTAATCCTTGCGGAGCTAATGCTCGCTGCAATAATGGGACATGCGCTTGCTATCCTGAATATCACGGAGATCCGTACAGAGAATGTAAACCTGAATGCGTTATAAATAGCGACTGCCCGCGATCCAAAGCTTGCATAAATCAAAAATGTGGTGATCCATGTCCAGGACTATGTGGACAGAACGCCGAATGTTCAGTATTTAACCACCTTCCTATTTGTACCTGTTTATCTGGCTATACCGGGGATGCTTTTATAATTTGCAACAAAATTTCCAGTAAGTTTACTACATTCATCTGAACTGGTAAAGATACAGGGTGGTCCGAACTTTATTCCGGAAACTTCGGCATCATATTCTGCAGATAAAAATAAGTAAAAAAGTTCGTATAAATATATGTTCTAAAATACTTAATTTCGGAAATACAGGATGTATTTATTATTTTTTTTTTATTTTTTCCATATAATTTCTGATGTAATATTTGGATGAAAATTGGTGTCTGGGAGTTTTTGCCATGAGAAATCAATATAACTCCTATTTGTAGTGGGCGTCACCTACATGTGGTTTGTAGGTGACGCCGACTACTATGTTTTTAAGAGTAATAACTTTTCGTTCGTTCTTGTATAAAACTACTGAGTGAAAAAATATACATTTCCGTGATTTTTTACGTAAAAAATGTCTAGTTGTAAAAATTGCTACGAGCAACCGTTTTCAAGATATTTAGAATGGTAAAAGTCATTACATGTCATTATTGACAAAAATAAACATTCTGAGTAGATAGTTATTTGACTGAAATGATAAATTTGGGAAATTTTTATTTTTTTAAATTAATGATAATTTTTTCTTTGAAAAAATGATGATAAAATAGTTTCAGTTGAACTTTTGACACAAAAACATTTCAAATTTATGATTTCAGTCTAATAATTAACATGTTTTGATTTATCTCAATAATGACAGGTATTGATTATTTTGATTCAAAATATCTCGAGAATTTTTACTCCTAGCAATTTTTACCAAGAGACCTTTTTTGTGTAAAAAACGTCGTAAATGTATATTTTTTTACCCAGTAGTTTTATACAGATCCGCACGAAAAGTTATTACTCTTCAAACCAGTTAAAAATATGTAGGTGGCGCCCTCTACAAATAAGAGTCATATTGACATCAAAATCAAATTTCTCATGTCAAAAAACTCCTAGACACTATTTTTTATCCAAATATTGGTATTACTTCAGAAATTATTTGGAAAAAATCGAAATAAAAATGAAACTTCTACACCCTATATCTCCGAAATTAACTATTTTAGAACATAAAGTTATACGAACTTTTTTACTTTATTTATCTGTAGAATATACTGCCGAAGTTTCCGGAATACAGAGCGGACCACCCTGTATATAAGATATATAAAATAACGATATTTAATTAATAGCACCCCCACCACCTTCGGACCCATGCAACCCATCACCCTGTGGCCCGAACAGCCAGTGTCGAAACATCAACAGTCAAGCTGTTTGCTCTTGCTTGCCCAGTTATCTTGGCACCCCGCCAAGTTGTAGACCCGAATGTATATCTAGTACCGATTGTACCCCTAGTAAAGCTTGCGTCAATCAAAAATGCATCGATCCGTGTCCAGGCACTTGCGGAATAAATGCCGTATGCCAAGTTGTAAACCACAATCCAATTTGTAGTTGCCCTCCCCGATTTTCGGGTGATCCATTCCTAAGATGCAGCATAGTAGTTGGTATGTTTTAAATTGTTTAAAATAACATGACATGTGTAAAAATATGTACTTGTAGTAGAGGAACGCCAGCCTACACCACAATCACCACCGAACCCTTGCATACCGTCACCCTGTGGAGCGAATGCTCAATGTGAAACGACAGCATTGGGAACTGCTCGCTGTTCTTGTTTACCAAACTTCTTCGGCGCGCCTCCAAACTGTCGCCCTGAATGCGTTACAAATAGCGAATGCACCAAAAACTTGGCCTGTATTAATCAGAAATGCGCTGATCCTTGTCCCGGCTCCTGCGGGTTGAATGCTCGTTGTCTGGTAGTCAACCACGTACCAAATTGTATGTGTATTGACAATTACGTAGGCGATCCGTTTACAGTTTGTACAGTAAAACGTAAGAAAACATTTACTTTTGTTCTAACCCTTTTAGTTTTTAATTATGTGTGTGTTACTAACTATATTGTTTGTGTAGTGTAGATTTGTTGCATGTATGTACTTAGTAATTTATTTTAGTAATACATTTGAGTTATTTTCATATACCGTGTATGCATAAGAAAAACGGCGTCAATATGACTTAGATGATCGATGAGATTCTTTATATAAAATGACAGCCATTTTCATTTCCATTGATATTCGTATCTAAATTCGCATTCGCAAAATGTATAAGTACGAATATTTTGCGAATATCAACGTTCGTGAAAATATAAAATTTAAATAACATTAGTTACTCACACAGTGAATGTAACAAACAAAACAAAAAGTGGAAAATATTTAAAAAAGATATAGGTTTTCAAACATATTTAATGCTTTGAATAAGAAGACTAAGGAAGGAGCATATCAAAAATCTTAGGTACACCGCGATGGGCCTCAAATATGGCCGACTTAAATTCCGGTTTATCAGTGTCGTTCTAATTTTATTTAAAAAATGTAAAACTATGATGTAGGGTAGACGTGGGGTAGACTCAATAATTTGTTGTTTTATTTTACGTTGTGAATAAATGTTGGTAGTTATTAAAATTGTTATAAAAATATATAATTCTAATAAAAATAGATAAGTTATAATAAGTATTTATTACCACAAACATCCGATACGCTACTGAAGCAGGTAAGTCAAATTAACGTATCTAAATTCGTTGACATCTAATCTTTGACAAGTAATAAATAAAAGCTAAAATGCAAGAAAAATATATAATTTAGTTAATTTAAGTGAATTTCATAAATGATCGGTTTACTACACGTATGTATATCATATAGTCACTTACTAGCGAAAAGTTGTTCCATTATTTCACTCAATTTTTGCCGAGATCTACCGCACGCTACACAACCAACTATTTTAGAGTCTTTTTCGATAAATCGCGATAGTGTCACTGTTAATTTAAGTGCTGCCACAATTTCCATCTAGATTTACTACCTTTATACAACTATCAGTAGTAGAATAAATAATAAATAACATAAAATAAGCTCCTTAAAGACTGACAAATCCACAAAATTTCAAATCAAATTCAAATGTGTCAAATGAATCGTCAAACAGAACTGTCAAGGATCCCCACCCTAGAGGGCTTTTTCCGCCCACCATGCATGAATACATGGATAGCATTATGCTCCTTCCTTAGTCTTCTTATTCAAAGATTTAATGCGATGCCTGTAGGCTTACCTATTGGAGGTAGTAAAAAAATTTAAATGTAGGAGTTTAAGGTTTTACCTGAATCGCCAGAAATCTTCCAGAAACTGAAATAAAAATAAACAAAAGGTGATCAGAAAGTTAAGAAAAATTTAAAACTTCACTTTTTCCAATGGAATTATATTTTAAGTTTTTTTTAATATCTTTGTCTTCCGATTTCAGATATACCGGGTGCGTCAAAAGTGGCTCACCCAAACTTATTTTTTTCAGATAAAAAACGAGATTTGGTATGTTAGTATATGATATAAATTAGGTTTGATTGACGTATTCAATTGTTTTTGGTCACTTCCTGTTTCACCGGAAATAACTACAACTTTTGATTTTTAAATGGCACTCTCGGTTTTTTTTACTTTATTCGATAGAAAATGACACTCTGAATAGAATAACATATCATGTACCAATTTTTGACATCTTCTCATATACTCGAAATACCAAATTACCAGTGTGTGGTACCAAATTATTCGTAAAAAATGATTTTTCAAATATGCTAATGAGTGACCCTCGTTCCATTTGAAAAAAAATGAGATATGAATAAAAATACAATTTGGGCAGCTTTTAACCGTCCAGGTAAAGATACAAAAAATATTAGACGATCAAATCTATTTTCCAAAGCTCCTTGATTAAAATTTAGTAAAATTTAAAATACAATTTTTTTTCAAAGCGAAAATGTCAAAAGCTGACATATGATATAATGTCATTCTACTCAGAGTGTTATTTTCTATTGAATAAAGTGAAAACATACATTAAAAATTTAAAAATCGAAAGTTGTAGTCATTTCCGGTAACACAGAAAGTGACCAAAAACAATTGAGTACACGTCAATCTATCCTAATTTATGTCATATTCTAACATACCAAATATCGTTTTCTTATCTGAAAAAAATAATAAAGTTATAGTTGTTAGTTATTATAGTAGGTTGAACCGCTTTTGAGACACACCCGGTATATAGTTTGTCTATATTTGCAATGGGGGTAATTACCCCTCCGAAGAAGAAATTTATAAATAAGATAAAATGTGATATAAAATAAAATTGTCACAAAAGAAGTTAATAATAGGTACCAATCAAAATATTAAATCCACACCAATCAAAGTACTTTTTTTCCACAGTCACAATACCTACCTAAACAAAATTTTAATTTAAATCTAATACTTTATTTAAATATTAACCAGACTCAATCGCTAGATGCGCCACTGTCTCCAAGGTACACTATACAAAACAATTCACGCATATTTACATATGTTTGAAATTGGAAGAAAAAGATATTTCAAATAAACTTAAAATTGCTTAAGAAAGTGAAGTTGATAATTTTTCTTAACTTTCTGATCGTCTTTTGTTTATTTTTATTTCACTTTCTGGCGATTAAGCGAAAACCTTACAACTACTACATTTAATTTTACTACCCCCAATAGGTCAGCGTGCAGGTATAAATATCTCATAAATGAATATGCCCCAATTAAGAAATTAGATCCTCCTAAGATACGGGTGATATGAAATGCTCTGTATATATGCTCTGTATATGATATGAAATGCTCATCATATGAAGTAGCAAAATTTTAGTAACTTGGTGAAGGTATTCAGTATTTTTTTCCATAGCAACTATTAAAATTGCCTTATATCTATCAAAAATAATAGATAAAATAATACTTCAACCGCAAGGGTAGATTAAATGATACTTTAACAGGGAGGATAGGTTATCTATGGGATAGGTTAAAAACTTTATTCTGCAATCGTTTTTTAATTGCTCTCATTTTTGTATTCCTTTTCATAAGTTATTCGGGATTTAAATGGAAGTAGTTTGGATATGGCGTTTGTCGCCTCAGCCTGAATATCTGTTGGTAATTTACTTTGAGCCATTTCTGGCTCCAATTCAGTCAGCAATCGACACGAACGAGAATTAAAAAATATTGACTCAAAACTGACAACTAAAGAGACAGCTTTATTTATTTGTCAAATTACATAGAAACCAACGCCAACCCAGCACAATATTTTTTCTACTCGTAATAAATTCCTTGAAATAATAATTTTTGAATATATTTTAACTCGCTATGGAAAAAAATATTGTTTTCTACACGACGATAAAATTGCATTATCGTCTCTCGAAATTAATTCACTCGTGATTTCATCGCTCGTGAATTAATCTTTTCGGTCGACGATAAAATACCATTTTATCGTCTTGTATAAAAAATAACTATTAATGGCATTAAAAGTAACTAATTTAAATTTTTGTACTTTAGCTGCGCCACCACCGACTCCCGTACCATCAAACCCATGCATTCCGTCGCCGTGTGGAACAAACGCCATCTGCAGAACAGAATATTCCCACGACAGCGCCATCTGCGAGTGTCTGCCAGAGTACTACGGCAATCCGTACCAAGCTTGTAGACCAGAGTGTTTGATCAATGCGGACTGTCCGAGCAACAGGGCTTGCATCAGAAACAAATGTCAAGATCCTTGTCCCGGTACTTGCGGTATCAATGCCCTATGCACCGTTACCAATCACATTCCAATTTGTACTTGCAACGATGGATACAGCGGAGATGCATTTAGGATCTGTGAAATTATACGATCTGGTAAGTTGCCTTTATGAAACTAAAGTATATTATAAAGTAGGTAATTTAAGTACGAATTATACGTATATTCGTTGTTATTTAAATTTATACAAACAAACAAACAAACAACGCTTTATTGTACAAAAAGCCAAAACGGCTTCATCGACAAAGCACTCAAAAAACAAACAAAAGCACAAAAAAAAATCAAACAACAAAAAATACACAATTCAAAAAAATTTAAGTCGTTAAAATAACAAAAAGAATATACATGGACAATTGCCGAACAGTACGCAGTAAATAGATATAATTTTAGAGTTATAAAATATTAAATACTTAACCTTTGACCAGTATATAAGATGATCAAAATTTTAAAATTCAAATTATATTTATATTATACTAATTCACTTTTATTTAATTCACCTACAATAGTTTAATAGATAATATTTATTAAATATGTATTTATATTATTCTATCAAGAAAAACGTTCTTTGATTTATTTTACGATGTAGTTCTTTGATTTATTTTACGATGACTTGTATCGTCTGTCCAACGACAAGATCCTTGACAGTAATAGATGTGTGTCCTTTTATTTTCAAAGTAGTTTATTTTATTTTATAAAGAACTAAGTTGGTACAATTGGAACGCATAGCAGAAAATTAATATATTTAAAATTTGAGTGCCAAGTGATTACTTCAAAATATTGTAAAAAACTGTATAAAATTGAAAAAATCCAATCGAGTTACTTTATTAAAAACAATTACAGTATGTGTTAATACAAAACAAGCAAGGGTATATTTTAAAAAAATACCACATACCAAAAAAAGATGCCGTGTTTCAAGCTCAAGCAACTTCCTGCATTTATTGTTACATTTATTAATATAATTATTCAATATGATTATTATTTACCTATCGTATGCTCCTATTTTACAGATACTCCAGTTTTTGGTATCATATACAAGATAGTATACAAACTTTATTTGTGGCTAATACAACTCTCTGGCCATAATCCCTGGCAAACTGTCTCTGGGCACCGAATATTAACTGTAAACTATAACCTGGGTCAACACTTAATTTTCCCTCGAGTTTTCTTCCACTTGATTTTAAAAAATACAAAACTTAAAACTTAACGTAATAACATAGTCCGAAATGCAAAATGCAAAATATTTATCATTTCTATTTGACATATTTGACACAAAATTATAACCTATAATTTAGCAAGAGTTTGACAACTCTCAAAAATCTTAAGGCGAGTTCATACGCATCGACGTCCTTTTGTCTAATAATATTGAAATATGAACTATCATTTTTGAAATAAACCATTAAAACTAGTTAAAAACAACAGGAGATGACGCATGACGGATTTATACTAAGGGCTGGCAAAGGTTAGTCTTGGGTCGAGATTTCCGTATGTAAGAAGAGTACAATGCGTTTGTAATGTACTAAACAAAGAGAGGACAGTAAACACGTTGCCAAACGTATGAAATAAACCAAGAAACTGTGCACATCTCTAAGAGACGTGGAAGGGGATATAGCAGATTTGTCGCAGATGACCGGTCGACCCAATCAATACCTCTGTCAGTACTTAAAGTTCTAGGGAAAGGTGTACGTCATGCGTTCAGTTTCACGATTTAATTACGTCTCGTGATACTTAATTTGTTTATTTATTAACGAGTCGTTGTAATTTTCCCTATAGCTTGAATTTTTTTAAGTGCAAGCTAGAAACACTTGCATTCTTGTAAAAATAAGTGGAATTGAGTGGGTGTTCGATAGTGGTCGCGCTATTAGAACTCTGAATTCAAAAATCGATATCTCGTAATCTATTAGAAATAATAGATTGTAGTTTTTTCAAGAACTTTGTTAATATTTCTGCTGTATTTTCTTTGTAGACAGTATGTAAAAATCTTTATCAATAAAAAAATTACACGATTGCTGAAAATTGCTATGCTCTAAAAGTAAATGGATGGATTGTTTAGAATTTTTGAATCAACCTTATCGTTTTTTTCTTATGTAAACATATTGTAAAATATCCGATCTTGAAAATAAAAAAAAGGTTCAATATCTAAAGTGGTTCTTGAGTTATGGCCTGTTATGTGTTAAAAAGTTGAGTTTTTAAATTATCGCGATTACTGACGTTTTCTCGTTATAAAAAAAATGACACCTTAAGGATATCCTTATAATTCCATTTCAGATGCTCAGAAACATGTTTAATGATTTTATCCAGTTATCTCTTGAAAAAAAAGTCTTTTAAAAATAAGCGGTTTGCGATCGTGATTTTACTTTACTTGATAGGGAAAGGCGTATCGGCAACGCCGCAACAGCACACAGTTGCGCCGACCAGATAAATGACGACCCAAAAGTAACAGTTGCCAGCACGGTATATAAACCCATTCATAGTTAACTTAAAATAATTCATAGTTAACTTAAAAAATATTAGAAACTTTTTTTAGTTAAATAAATGGATCGGTATGGACGTCATCTGCTTTTTTTCTATCATCGTCTGTCGAAATCTTACCTGAGAAAAAAAAACAGAGATAGATACATAGATTTTCTATAAAAGAGCCAATTACTCCAAATTCATTTTCTTTACTTCCAATGACATGTTTCTGCCTATTTAGATATCTTTGAGCATAAGCTCTTGAGGCCACCAAGAAGCAATTTTCCTTACAAAATAAAATCACTGTGCGCTTACTTATTAATGTATTGTGGGTAAATTTAAGTAAACTGTTATAAATCTATATAATAATGTCCATAAACTAATGTCGATTTTGAAAATAGTTACTAACTGTCACTAGAAAATTGGCACGGCGACACCAGCCATCTTAATTGTTATTTTATTGAAAAATCGCTTATTATTCAAAATCTGAGCTAATAAATAGGTATAGGAAACCCTAATATAGTTAGAAAGAGCATTTGAATCTACTTTGATTTATTTAAAAAAAATACAGGGTGTTGCGTTTGAAATAACGAAGTTTTTATATAAAATAAATTCTTAAAATAGATCAGCAATTTTTGGTACTCCTGGTAGATTTTTCTGGTACTCCTGGTAGATTTAAGGTAGCAATAACATTTTTCAGCAAAGTTTATTTCTTTATCTTTAATTCAGCACAAGAATTAATTCTGAAAAGTAATGTACAGGGTGTTAATAATCTATCCTATTGTAGCATGCATATTTAAATATCTTTAAATATCTCAAAAAACAAAGACTTTAAACATATTTAACCCTTAAAATAAATGCCTATTTTGGGCCCAAGAATCCTAAAATGAAATAAAATACCGAGTATTCCATAATAAAAAATATAACTTTGGTATGTACCTTGGTTCTGAAACACCCTGTATATTTCAAAATAATTTTAAATTGTACACATTGCCTCCCCACATATATAAATATGATAAAGTCATAAAATATTTTGTTTGTCCATCTTTCCGTTTTCGTATAACCAAACCGAGGCGAATGAGATGCGTCACCCTGTACATAAGTTATAGGGGTGAGCCACTTCTGAAAAACACTTGATATAAACAATGTAATGTTTAGATTTTAAAGAGCGGCAAATAGAAGATCTCTCGTTTTGATATTATATTTAAAAATAATAATTGTAATCTCTCGGTGAAAAATTAATGTTATTTTAATTATTTTTAGAACCACCGAAAGATCCATGCAATCCATCACCTTGTGGAATCAACACGGCATGCCGCATATCAGGAGGAAACGCCATCTGCGAGTGTCTCCCAGGATTTTTCGGAAACGCCAATTCTGGCGGATGTAGACCCGAGTGCACAGTCAGCTCCGATTGTCCGAGAGACAAAGCTTGCATCAACACACGCTGCGCCGATCCATGTCCAGGCGTTTGCGGATACCAAGCTGTATGTAACGTCATCAATCATAGTCCGGTGTGCAGTTGCCCTCAACCCCTGGTTGGAGACCCGTTCACTCTATGCACCGAACCTGTAAAAGTTGAAGCAGATCCTTGTAATCCATCTCCATGTCGAGCTAACGGCCAATGCCGAGTAGTCAACGAGGCGGCTGTTTGTATATATCCTGAATGTGTAATCAATCCAGATTGTCCAAGAGACAAAGCTTGTTATGCGCAAAAATGCCAAGATCCTTGCAGAGATGCATGCGGTCTTAACGCTCTATGCCAAGTTGTAAATCATCAACCGGTTTGTTCGTGTCCTCCTGGATACATTGGATCTCCGGAAGTCCAATGCAAATATCAACCACCAGAACGTAAGTTATTTTTAATTTATCTCAGAGTACTTAAATAATTTGTTTAAATTCGTAGGTCCAGTAGAAAGAGTAGAATGTATACAAGATACTGATTGCACAAATGATAAGGCCTGTATCAACACTCGCTGCGTAAATCCGTGTCAAGCGGGTATCTGTGGCCAGAATGCAGAATGCCGAGCGCAACTTCATCGCGCAGTATGTATATGTAGAGACGGATTCACTGGAAACGCTCAACACGCTTGCGTCGAAATTGGCTGCCGAGCTGATTCCGATTGTCCTCCAATTCAAGCCTGTGTTAATAGAGAATGCGTCAATCCATGTTCGTACACTTCCTGCGGCGTTAATGCTATTTGTCATCCCGATGGCAATCACAAAGCTCGTTGCTACTGCCCCACTAATTTCCGTGGAAATCCTTTAATAAAATGCGACCAGCCAGAATGCACTAGAGATGAAGATTGTTCTTATAATTATGCTTGCCGTAATGAACGATGTGAGAAAGCATGTAATTGCGGGCAAAATGCCATATGTAATGTTATCAATCATGTTGGTCAATGCTCATGTCCACCTGGATATATAGGCAACCCATTGGTGTCGTGTAAAATTGAAGCACGAAAACCGGAACCACAATGCAGAATGGACTCCGATTGCCCCAGCAAGTTAGCCTGTTTCAGCGGGCTATGTAAAAATCCATGTTTCGAAACTAAACCTTGCGGTAAAAATACTGAATGTGTCGTCGTGGATAGTCTACCTCTAAGAACAATGTCTTGCATTTGCCTTAAAGGATATATTGGTGATGCAGATACAGAATGTAAATTAGGTATGTTATACTATATTGCAGCGTTATATTTATACGGTTATTGGAAATTTATAATAATGCTTTATAATAATTATTTTGCTTTTCAATTTCAGGTCACTACAATTCACCCCATTCTAATCTCTTATAAATTTATAACAGCAACACATATTCATACTAGCTTGCTTATTAATAATAATAGGAGATTAAAAAGATTTTTGGACAATTCCCAATCTAATCTTTTAAAATTCTTCTATACATAAATAGAGTGTTCCATTTAAGATAAATACATACAAAAATTAAGTACACAAAATGATTTAGGGCGGCTGCAACGACGTCCCGTAAATAAAAAGCCACCACATCCTGATGTTAAAACATAACAGCTTGTTTTTATACAGGGTGATCCGAACTGTATTCCGGAACCTTCGGCAGCATATTCTGCAGATAAAAATAAGTAAAAAAGTTCGTATACACACACAATATGTCCTAAAATGCTTAGTTTCAGAGGTACAGGGTGTAGAAGTTTCATTTTTATTTTGATTTTTTCCAAATTACTTCTGAAGTAACATCAGTATTTAAATGAAAATTGGTGTCTGGTAGTTTTTTGACATGAGAAATTTGATTTTGATGTCAATATGACTCCTATTTGTAGGGGGCGCCACCTACATATGTTTTAACAGTTTTGAAAAGTAATAACTTTTCGTTCATACCTGTGTAAAACTGCTGAGTGAAAAAATATACATTTCCGTGATTTTTTATGTAAAAAATATCTCTTAGTAAAAATCGCTACGAGCAACCGTTTTTAAGGTATTTAGAATGGAAATAGGCAATACATGTCATTATTGAGAAAAAATAAACATGTTGAGTAGATAGTTATTTGACTGAAATGATAAATTTGGGAATTTTTTATTTTTTTAAGTTAATCATAAATTTTTCTTCGAAAAAATTATGATAAAACAGTTTCTGTTGGACTTTTGGCACAAAAACATTTCAAATTTGTTACTTCGGTCTGATAACTATTGAGCCGACATGTTTAATTTATGTTAATGATGACAGAATATCTCGAGAACCATTACATGTAGTGATTTTTACCAATGCATATTTTTTTTACTCAGTTGTTTTATACAGGTACGGACGAAAAGTATTACTGTTCAAACCAGTTAAAAAATATATGGCGCCCTCTACAAGTAGGAGTCATATTGACATCAAAATCAAATTTCTCATGTCAACAAACTACCAGACACCAATTTTCATCCAATATTGACGTGACTTCATAAGTTATTTGGAAAAAGTCGAAATAAAAATGAAACTTCTACACCTTGTATCTCCGAAACGAAGCATTTTAGGACATACATTTATATGAACTTTTTTTACTTATTTCTATCTGCAGAATATGCTGCCGAAGTTTCCGGAATACAGTTCGGACCACCCTGTATATAAAACTAATTGTTATGTTTTAACAGCAGGATTACTGAACGTGGTTGCAGCCACCCTTAAAGATATAACTATCTTAAGGTTTTAAAATATATTAGGAACATATAACATTTTTTACCGAAATTTGTGTTTATCTTCAAATGGCGCATCCTTATTAAAATACATAAACTAATATTAATAATTTTATAGCTCCACAAGAAGAGCCAGGTTGTAAATCCAACAACGACTGTTCGTCTGTCGAGACGTGCATCAACCGGCAATGCATTAACCCATGCACAATAGGTCATCAATGTGCGCCAACAGCTAAATGCGAAGCCAGAAACCACAAAGCAATTTGTACGTGTCCACAACCTCTAATAGGAGATCCGTTTATACGCTGTTACGAACAACCACGCCAACCGCCCAAACCTGAATGTGTCTTCGACAGCGAATGCTCTCTTGATAAATCCTGTATCAACCAACGTTGTCAGAATCCATGTGCATTATCAAATCCTTGCGGAACAAATGCCGAATGCGAGACCAGAATCCATCGACCAACATGTGTCTGTCCATTCGATTGGGTTGGAAATCCTCAAGTATTATGTTATAAACGTAAGAATTACAAAAAAATTACGTCTAAGTATTTTTGTAAATATAAATTTTATTTTCAGCTGAATGCAAAGCAGACAGTGACTGTCCTAATGACAAATCTTGCATCAACGAAAATTGTATAAACCCATGTACAACTACATCCTGTGGTCGAGGTGCCGAATGTATTGCGCAAACTCACCGCGCTCAGTGTCAATGTCCTTTGGGTACACAAGGAGATCCATTTGTTTCATGTATTACTGGACAATGTCAGTATAACGAGGACTGCGCTGACCACGAAGCATGTGATCGACTAAATAGAGTATGCAGACCAGTATGCGACGAAGAAACTTGTGCCTCTACAGCACAATGTATAGGACGTAACCATCAACCCGAATGTCAGTGCCCAATAGGAACTGTCGGAAATCCATTTGTTGAATGTAAACTGCTTGCTAAACCCGAATGTACTATAGATGCAGATTGTCCTTCGCAACTTGCCTGTATCAATCAATTATGTCAGAATCCATGTCATCAAAGTAATGTTTGTTCTTTGGAGCAAGAATGTCGAGTAGTCGACACAGTTCCCTTGCGTACCATAATGTGTGTATGTCCACCTGACCAAATGGTTGATAGTTCAGGCAATTGCAAACCAATTTTACGCGAACAACCACAATGCCAAGCAGATACCGATTGTTCCGACCCAGATAAATGCTATAGAGGTACATGCGTTAATGCATGCAGATTAGACAATTGTGGTGTTAATGCAATATGCAGAGCATCTAACCATGTAACGCAATGTTCTTGTGCACCAGGATATACCGGAAATCCTCGACTCGAATGTACAAATATTCCAAAGGCTCGGCCGGAATTCCAGCCAGAGTGTGAGAGCGATGGAGACTGTTCAAACGATTTAGCGTGCAGGAACAACATTTGTGTGAATCCATGTAGAGTAGATCAACCTTGCGCCAATAACGCATTCTGTTCAGTAAATAGACATAAACCTGTATGTAAATGTCCTGAAGGATACCAAGGAAGACCCGAGATTGAATGTATAGCACGTAAGTATATCTTATACATAATATAAATATAGTTGTAAAAAATCTATGTTCCTACTATTTATTTAATTTCAGCAACAACATTGGCTCTCGGTTGTACAACTAATTCAGATTGTCCATTAAGCGAGTCCTGCATAAACAAAGTGTGCATTAGCCCATGTAACTGTGGACCAAATGCTGATTGCCGCGTTGTAAACCATTATGCTACCTGTTTCTGTCAACCAGGTTACTCTGGTAACCCTCAAACCGGATGTGTGAAACGTAAGTTTTGGAAAAAACTATTAAATGTATAAATTTACCTAACTGTTTTTCTCTTATAGTGGGATGTACATCAGATAATGAATGCAGCGACGACCAACAGTGCTTCAACAGTCAGTGCATTAATCCATGCATTTTACAAGATCCCTGTGCCAGAAATGCCGAATGTTTCGGAAGAAATCATAAGGCAACATGTAAATGTCCATCTGGTTACGAAGGCGATCCTTTCATTCAGTGTGAGAGATTAGAGTGCTACTCTCATCAAGACTGCCCTAGTACTCGAGCTTGCTTAGAACATCGATGTGTTGAAGTTTGTTCAGCCGTTGCCAATCCTCCGTGTGCACAAAATGCGGTTTGTTACGCGCAAAATCATGCAGCCTCGTGTGTCTGTCCAGATCATTTACCAGAAGGAAACGCTATATCATACTGCTATCCAAAAACACCTGTTGGAGAAAAACCTATTTGTGAATTCGACTCCGATTGTCCAAGTAAATTGGCTTGTATTGGCAATCAATGTGTAAATCCTTGCGAAAAAATATCTCCATGCGATTCGACGGCTCATTGTACCGTTATCGATACTATACCCGTACGTACTATGGCTTGTACTTGTCCTGAAGGATGGGTTCCTAACAGTAATGGAGAATGTCATCCTGTCCTTATACCAATACCACCAGGTTGCAGTAAAGACGACGACTGTCCCGACAACAACGCTTGTATTAACAGAGTTTGTAGAACCCCGTGCGATTGTGGTTCAAACGCTATATGTGATGTTCGGAATCACAAACCTATTTGCTCCTGCAAAGAAGGTTTTGAAGGTAATCCAAACATTGCCTGCCGTACCATCGGTTGTAGAATCGATTCCGAATGCGATTCGGGAACAGCTTGCATTAATGGTCAGTGTATTAGCCCATGCTTAGTGAAGAACCCGTGCGGTATCAACGCCGAATGTTATGTAAATAGAAATCACCCTGAATGTCGCTGTCTAAGTGGATATAGAGGAAATGCATATGATAGATGTTTAGTTGTCGGATGTTTGTCTAACAGCGACTGTCCTTCTGACAGACAATGTATTAATGCTCAATGTATCAACCCGTGCATATTTGACAATCCTTGCTCTCCTCGAGCTGAATGTTTGGTTCAGAACCACTTGGCTCTTTGCAAATGTCCCGATGGTTTAATAGGAAACCCTTACACAGATTGCCGACCACAACCTCAACCAGAGTGTCGTGAAGATGGAGACTGTCCAGCACAATTGGCTTGCTTAAATAGTAAATGTCAAAATCCATGCACAGTAATTCATCCGTGTGAAAATCCTGCCAAATGTCACGTTGTTAATAGCCTTCCCGTACGTACAATGAATTGCGTTTGTCCTCCAGGATACATCAGTAGCGGCAGTGGTACTTGTAATCCAGTTACCGCAGTCGTGAAGGTTGGTGCCTGCAGGAGTGACAGCGAATGTCCATCCGATAAAGCTTGTTTCAATGCTATATGTCGCAATCCATGTAACTGCGGGCCTAATGCGGAATGTCGCATTAAAGACCACAAACCCATTTGTACTTGTCAACCTGGCTATGAAGGAAATCCGGAAATTCAATGCCATAAAGTAGGATGCCTTAGTGATGATGAATGTTCTGGACAACACACCTGTATCAACCGACAATGCGTACCCGTTTGTCTACCTGATAATCAGCCGTGCGGAGAAAAAGCCAAATGTATCGGTATTAATCACCGAGCAATTTGCGACTGTCCCCAAGGATACATTGGAAACCCACACGTGTCTTGCGTCTTAGTTGGCTGCAGATCAGATTCTGACTGTCCAGGAACCACAGCGTGTATAAACAATAAATGCGACAATCCATGTGTATCAGCAAACCCATGCGATAGGCCAGCAGAATGTAAGACGTTCAACCATATTATGGAATGTGTATGTCCACCCGGCACGGTCAGTGATGGAAAAATGGGTTGTTTGGAAATCGAAGACAAATGTAGGCAAGACAGCGACTGTCCGTCTGGACTCGCCTGCCTCAACGACAACTGTCAAAACCCATGCTTGATAACAGAACCTTGTGGAATCAACGCCGAATGTTCGGTAGTCGATACTGAACCAGTAAGGACGATGGTATGTGAATGTTTGCCTGGATATCATGGAAATGCCGCTGTAAGATGTGATAAAAGTAAGTAAAATTTAACAAAAACATACATGAAAAAGTAAAGGGAAATTAAAACAACTTTCGTTCCACGTCATCAATGAGACCATGCGTCGTCTTATGAAGTTTGCTGGTGGTCGTATTATGATGTGCAACCAAAGTTATTTTAATTTCCCTATACTATAATATGTTTATACAATCTTTTGAGATCAAAATATCTGGTTTATCTAAATAGCTAGAGTTCAGAGTCTAGGGACATAATTTTCTCTGTGGCTTTTTATTTGTATAGTTTATCAAATAAGAGACAGGGCGAGTCTTAAATAAGTGTAAATATTTTAGGGTGATTTATTTCGAGCCCTAAAACACCGCTATGAACTTTTTTGCATTTTTTTTTTATTTTCTTGTTAAAAAACATAATATCTCGATATTATGACAACATAGGTAGTCAATTAAATTTACAAAAAAGAAAACCCAAAAGTCCAGTGGTTCTCAAAATATAAGCAAAAAATCATAATTTTTTTAAATTTTCAAATTAAAATAACAAATAACTCGGTTATTTTGGACTTATTTGAAAAACGGTAAAGAGAAATTATGTTTCTTTTATCGAGGTCTAGGAAATATTTGCAGTCTCGCCCTTTATAGGCTTGGTGCATTCTCCGCCGGTGCTGCCACCATCGGATAATATCGTAAACAACTAGTATATACAAATACACGGGTTTAAATAGCGAGTATACGAAAAATTTATTATATAATTATTCTAAAACTGTTAGGAAGTATAATTTGTAAAAATTCTAAAAATAAAAAAGTAAATATTTATGAGTTCAACTACGGTAGCGAGCATAGTTTTAATCACCGGTTTTGCTAGTGGGGTCATAATTGGGGCTATTTCGGCTATAACGAAATTTTTTAAAGGTACATAATTATAATTTTAGATGTTCATAAAACATTTAATCACTAGTCGATTTAAAAAGTATACCATTAATATTACAAATTATATTTTATCCTTAGTATGTATATGTCTTTTTAATTTTTTGATTATGTAACGAGCACTTTGTTTACTCACTTGTTTCGTCGAACTGCTTGAATCCATTTTTGCTTTTGATCAAATCGGTGTGAGAAACTATGAAGCTATAAAATGTTGTTTCGAGAGAATTGAATATCCGAGAAAGTTGAGTTATTGAATGTTATTGCACCCAACAACGCCCTAATTACGCTCTCCTTTACGCGTTAACATTTTTTTGACAATTTTATTGATATATATAACATTTGATATTGTCACAACACAACACGACGCGGACGCCTAGTTCGAATTCCTTTTCACTTATTTTTTACTATCCGAAACAGCGTTACATCATACAAACTTCGTACCTCAGTGTTTTATAGTCTCAATAACTGCACTAGCAAAAAACTAAAATACTTAAATATTATGACAAAACCACGATTTCAATATATTTTTAATGCGATCAACATGAAATGTGTACTCATTATTTCTGCTGGGGGGTTGAAGCGCTGCGGTCGGAATTTGTTGAAATCAACAACCATTAACCAAGCCATAGATGTCATTTTATTTTAAAAATAAAATATTTTGGTCAAATTTTGGATATCGTTTGTCAAAATCGCTTTTTCTCTCGCTCAACTGACGAAAACTGATTGATTATTGCACAAATTTGCTTAAACATTAAATAAAATTACTTAACGTTTAACTACCTCTCATCACAATATAGACAGAACATATAATATGTTTGGTTTACGTTTATTTTTAGCACCACCAATAACACCGAAAATATGTCACACTGAAAAGGGCTACGTACGAACGCCTACCGGTGAATGTGTATGTCCGCCCAAAACAGCTCTCAATGACCACGACGACTGCGTTCCCTGCCCAATCGAGAAAGGTCTAACAATTGATGAACGAGGTCGCTGCGTCTGCGCCCTAGAAAAAGGATTGATAATTGACGAACGCGGAAACTGCGTGTGTCCCATCGAATATGGTTACAGACTGGATTCGCGCGGCAACTGCGTCCCAACAGCCGGACCCGAATGTAAAACAGACGACGACTGCGCAGACAACAAATACTGCAATCTTAATACGAATACCTGCGACAACCCATGCTTGAAGAAGATCTGTGGAATTAATGCGGAATGTACCGCTACGAAACATAAAGGAATTTGTCAATGTAAACCGGGATATTCTGGAATTCCCGATAAATATTGCAGTACGTATTACTCCTAGTCAAGAGCTAACAAAGTCTGGAAAACAAGTATTTTAAGAAAGCTGGCTAATATAGATCTTTTACTGTGCTCTCTGGAACAGCGGGCAGGCCGTCTGGCTGGTTCACTACTGCGCATTGAAAAAAGTTCCTATATTTTTATTTACTACTTTAAATTATAGTAGGTATTGAATATAAATCGAACAAGTCTCCATAGCGCGGCGCTATGGAGACGCTTGTTTGATTTATATTCAATACTAGAATTTAACGCACCAAATAAAGAATATATAGGATCTTCTTTCAACGCGCAGTAATGAACGCAACGTCTATCGGCAGTCAGACGACTCGCACGCTGTTCCAGAGAGCATAGCAAAAAATATATTAAAGAGCCAGCTTTCTTAAAATACTTTCTCTAAAACGCTGCTAGCTCTTAGACTATAAAATTAAAATTCATAACTAATTAATCCCTATTTTTTTCAGATAATACATCGCCATACAGAACAGATTTCCCAAGCCCCGAAATGGTTGTCAGCTGTCTTTCAGACGGTGTCCAAGTCGAAATACGCATCAATGTCCTAGAAGGTTTCAATGGTGTGCTTTATGTAAAAGGCCACAGCAAAGACGAACAGTGCAGAAGAGTGTTGACTTTACCACCTAGTTCCACATTCAGACAAGAATACTTCAAAGTCCAGTTTGGTAACTGCGGACTTATTCACGTTAATGTAAGCAATACAAAGATTTAAAAATACTTAACACACTAAAGACGCTTTGTATTTTTTTTTAGGGTAAAGCAAGTTTCGTCTTGGTAATACAGAAACATCCTAAGCTGGTAACTTACAAGGCACAGGCCTACCATATTCAATGCGTCTACCAAACCGGAGAACAAAACGTAACTCTTGGTTTCAACGTTTCCATGTTGACCACGGCTGGAACGATAGCCAACACAGGTCCACCACCTACCTGTCTTATGAAAATCGTTACACCAACCGGCCAAGAGATAAATTCCGCCGAAATTGGAGACAGTCTTATACTACAAGTCGACGTCCAACCCGGATCGATTTATGGAGGATTTGCCAGAAGTTGCGTTGCGAAAACGATGGAAGATTCGGTGGAAAACGAATATTTGGTAACCGATGAAAACGGTTGTGCCACGGATCCTTCTATATTCGGCGAGTGGGAGTATAATCCTGACACTCAAAGCCTTCTGGCAACATTTAATGCTTTCAAGTTCCCGAGCAGTGACAATATACGATTCCAATGTAATATTCGAGTATGCTTCGGAAAATGTCAACCAGTAAGTATACAGATATCGTGTTAGAAATAACACAACTTATTCAATACCACCTAGTAATCTGTGGGGTTTGGGATCCTGTTTGATCTCTGTTTGATCTCTTACTCGGAAGCCTTGAACCCATTGCGATACCCCTGTATTATTATATACCAAACCTTCCTCTCACTCGTTCTTTGCGTCAAAGCACTTCCACCTCTTGGCAAACTTCCCGATGTCGCTAATGTTGGCTTTTGTTGATTCCTCTAAAAAACCGTGCCCTAAAATTCTAAAGCGTCAGTTTTCCAGTGCTGGAGTATACAGCAGGTGCTCTATGGTTTCTTCTTCCTCTCCGCATTCTCTGCAGTAGTCGTCGTTGGAAATCTTCCATCTGACGAGGTTTACCCCCATGGGGCAGTTTCCAGTGACGACACCTAAGATTATGCGCACTAGGTTCTTTTTGTGCTCTAGTAGTTTTTTTGTCTTTTTGCTGCCTTCCACTATCAACAATCTTCGAGCTGTAGCGCAGTTCCCACGGTGTTGCCAGGTCTCTTGCTGCTTGGCCTGTTTAGTAGTTCCTATAGCTTCCTTCAACGTGTTGGTCGTCACAAGTGATGGGTCATCTGCGACTGCCACTTCCCTGGTCCTCTTTGGTGAGTCTATTCGCTTCCTGGTTGCCCACCACATTGCTGTGGCCGGGCACCCAGCACAGAGTGACCCCGCATTGACGCAGCCAGGACAGTGCTTCTCGACCGTCCATCACAGTTTTCGGTCTCACTCATTGCATGGTGATGCTTCTTAAAGCGCCCAAGCTGTCAGAGTATATCTCTGACAAAATCATGTTTGGTGAGCATATAGTCCGTTTTATGGTGTAGCACATGTGGACTCGTGTTAACCATGATTTTCCCTATAATTGCCAATATCCTCGAGTGACCATAGTTGGTCTGATTCCACAGATTGAATTCCCTTAATCTTAGGGCACCCTTAGCGGCCAGATCCTTCACCAACCAGTTCATTGATTTAAGTCCTGAGTTACTTCTAGCGTAGCTGGCGCTGTGTTGTTCCTTGCTCCAGTTGTACCTAGAGCTGCTAATCGCTGTACTTTTGAGAGAGTTGACCACCTTTAAATACCATCAAGTATTTTGGCTTATCTTTTAGCCTGTTGTGTTTTTCTAGTAGGATTCGATTAGACAATTTTCCCAGTTACAGTAGTTTCCATCCTTCAAGTTATTTTAATGATGTAATTGGAAGTTTCGACTACGTAGAGCAAAAGATTGTGTTTTAGGACAATGTTGCTTTAGTTATTGTGTACATTTTTATATTAATCTCGATGTCAGGATATGCGACTTGAGTGGTTTTAAAGCAATGTAACTAACATCAATTTTTGCACTTAAAAATAAGCCATTATGTATTGAATAAGCTGTGCGATTAGCAAAATTTATATACCGAAATATCTTATAAATTAATGTGAATAATTAATTTAAAGGTCAATTGTCACGGATATAACGCTTTTGGACGTAGGAAGAGAGCAATTAGCCAAGAGAATGATACAGATTCCGGTGACTTATTGGCTGGACAACTAAGAGAAGAAATCACAATTCAATCTAACGCCATCCTAACTTTAGAAAGGCGAGATGACCGTCATGCAGATACCTCACTATGTAAGTCATTATCACTATATATTCCTGATATGAACACAATGTTATATAAGAAACAGTAAATACTAAATTGTGTATTTGACATATGTTTGTTGACCTTGTGACAGAGCACTATTTTAAAATTATAAAAATGTCGCAACTTGATTAGATTAAAAAATCGTTAAATATATTATAAATATTTGCCTTAGGTATAAAATACATATGATATTATATAGGTACCGGATGTTTCTCAAAAGTGGCTCACCCCGCATAACATTTTATTTTTTCAGATAAAAAAAACGAAATTTGGTATGTTAGTATGTGACATATGTAAATCAGGATTGATTGACGTATTCAAATGTTTTCAGTCGCTTCCCGTTTCACCGGAAATTACTACCACTTTTGATTTTTAAATAACACCCTCGGTACTTTGTTCCGCCGAATAGAATGACATACCATATGTCAATTTAAGATAATTTCGCTTACCTATATCGTTTATTTGAAATTGTACCATGTGGTTCATAACGACAATTTGACTGGAAATGCCTGAAAAAGTGTGTGGTACCAAATTATTCGTTAAAAAATGCTTTTTCCAAATATGCTAGTAAGAATAAGCCACCCTAGTCCCATTTGAAAAAATTGTGATACGATTAAAAATACGATTTAGACATCTTTAAACCGGCCCGGACAAGACACGAAAAGCATTAGACAATCAAATCTAATTTTCCAATGCTCCTTGATTACAAATTATTGTTTTAACACAGCACTCTAGATTGAAATTTAAAATACGATTCTTTTTTAAGCGAAAATGTCAAAAGTTGACATATGAGATGTCTTTCTATTCAGATTGTCCTTTTCGATAGAATAAAGTAAAAAATACCGAGGGTGCCATCAAAAGTTCATTCCCGGTGTAACAGGAAGTGACCGAAAACAACTGAATACGTCAATCAATCCTAATTTGTATCATATACTAACATACCAAAAATAAAGAAAAAGTTATAGGGATGAGCCTTTTTTGAAAACACCCGGTATACAGATACGTGTAAAAAATAACTGAAAGTAATCATAAAACAAATACTTGACATTTAATATCATGTTCCAGCTCCGGACGCCCAACGCGCCGAAGACATCTGCGTGTCGATGATCGGGTTCATCATCGCCCTCATCATCACTGCCCTGCTGGCGCTGGTGGCCGTCGCCGTGGCCGTTTCCTGCTGGCTGATGGCCTACCGCCGCCGGCCCAAGACGACTGGCCCACTGCCCCATCCGCCGGAGTTCCCCAACCCGTTGTTCACGACCCCGGAACCGATGGTCGAGCCCAGTCCAGACTACCTCACGTAACCGGAACCCGGAAACTAGCTCCTAGGTTTAGTAAATATTGATCCCGGATCAATCTCGAACCAACGAATACTCGAACACGAAATTTATTTATATTTTTTTGTATATTTTCAGACGTCGTCCACCCAGTGCCGTTTTCACGCCTTTACCCCTGTATCCGTCCTCAAAAGCTACTCACTCTCGTACTGCCAAAGGGGTAATAGATGTTGGAAACGTGCACAGGTGTCGCGTCGAATGTAATTTAGAAAATGAGAATACTTCCGGAATGTTTACTGGCATCCTACCAGAAACGTACGGCCAGTAGGCAATCCGCCTATCTTTTCCAGAGGCTAACTCTCGTAACTTCGACTTGATCAAGGGAATTTTCAATAATGGTGGTGGTTTTCTTCTAACTTCTTCAATCCTAATAAAAAATAATTCAATTGTCTAATTACCAGAAAGTCATGTCGCCCTTGAAAACTCGTTTCCTATTGTATATAAATACGCTCGCTCGTAGCCTCTGGAAGACGTAGTACTTTATAAGACTATAGATATTTTATGACCCCCTGTATAAAGTGGATGAATGATGATGAATGCGGAGTATTAGTCTCCTTTTTTATTTGGTGCTGACTGAATTATTTCTATAAAAAACAGTCATAGTCAATTCCTCTTATTAATTTAAACTTAGATTTAGCTGAGAAAATATTTCTACTAAAAAAAATATAATTTGTACTAAACAAATTCAAAGATTGTAGCATTATGTACGTCAATTGACATATCTAAAATTGTTAATTTAATATTACTATTTGTAATTCCGTCCATATTAAATGTTAATGATGTTTGTGATAATTGCTTCTTTTAATAAAAATTTATTTAATATTAAGATGAGCTTTCTTGTTCCACCTATCCTGAGATATAAATACTTGTGTCAATAAGCGGAAATAAAGTAAAGCAGAGAAGGGGCGATTTCGACAAACGACATCCATAAATTGAAAGAAAAATCTATATACCTAATAATAAATAAATCTATATACCTAAAAAAAATATAAGTATATGGAAAAATCAAAATACTTTCAGAATACTTTTAAATTAAAAAGGATCAAAAACTCATTGTCATTATATTAAACGCTGTGCTTCTTGAAAATGGTAGGGTGATTTGCCATTGAAATACAAAAATACAAAACTAAGGATATTTCTTGTAAATTATCACTGGGTTAGAATAGAAACAGAAACCAACTTCTCACTTAACTTTTTACTTGTAATCATATTTGCCTAATAAGAAATAAGCTATTCGCATACACACCTCACAAATATAAAGTAACCAAACACAATATAAAAACTGACCATCAAGTAAAAATTACAAGATGCAGCTTAGCTACGGGATATAAACCAACCATCTGGAGAAAAGTAATCTTCATACCCAAAATAGGCAAAACCAGCCCTGACCAATGACGACTAATAGGCCTATCAGTCGCACATCGTTCATACTAAAAACGATGGAGAAAGTAATGGACAACCATTTTGGAGAAAATCATCTAAAAGTTAAACCGGGGGGCTGCACGATAGTCAGCATGCATATAGAGCGGGCAGATCCACAGAAACTGCTCTGTACCAATTAACAGAGCTAATACAGACTGGATAGCAACGAAACAGCATTTTGTTTTTGTGCCTTCTTGGCCATTGCGGTGGCATTTGATAACAAACCTCACAATGTGGTCAAACGATCTCTAGAACCAAGAAGGGCGAACAGAACGATAATTCGCTGGTTTTGGAAAACAGTGTCGACACGGGCAGCAGCTCAGATGGATACCAAAACTGCAACTATTAAAACAACGCATGAACTTCTACCAGGTGGAGTAACCTACCGCCACTGTATAGCTTGATATAATAATAATAAATAACGCTTTATTGTGCAAAAAGCCAAAATAGCTTCATCGACAAAGTATTTACAAAACAAACAAAAGCACAAAAAATATACAAATAATAAAAAATATACAATTCAAAAAAATTTAAGTCATTAAAATTACAAATAGAACATACATGGACAATTATTGCAGAACACAAAAAAGGCGTATCAATAAAATTTTACAATAGGAAAATTGTAAATGGATATAATTTTAAGAGTTATAAAATATTAAATATTGGACTTTTGAGTGCGTGAGATGATCAAAATTTTAAAATTCAAAATTGTTCATGATTAAACATCAACAAAAAAGTCGTTTACCGCATATAGCTCTCTCCAGTAAGTATTATTTCAGAGCTTTGCGAAATGTGGGAAAGAATGAAATCGACTTGATATTCAAAGGCAGATTGTACAGTATTGAGCCTGTAATTAGTTCTGAGCTCGGGGTTGGTAGATAAAGATCGTGCTCCGCATTCCTAAGTGGATAGTTGTCAGATGGCCTTTAGGGAACAGCAGATATGTGCTTGCGGATTAAGCAAACGGATTCCAAAAAGAATAGAGAGAAGAGTCAGAATTTTGAAATTTTTAAAGAAATTCTGGCAGCGAGTTCTACTGTCCACTCCCAATAAATATCGAACTGCTCTCTTTTGAAGTTTGAAAATAAGATCAAATTTTGATGCGCAGCAAGTACCCCAGAATGGAAGGGCATAACGAAGATGTGACTCAAAAAGGGCTATTCTAGAGGTTGATAAGTTAAGTTCCTTAGAAACTGATCTTAGCCCAAAACAGGCAGCGCTTAGTTTCTTTGATAAAGCTTCGATGTGCAAGTCCCATTTTAACGAGTTGGCTACAACAAGTCCTAATTATTTCACAGAGTCCACGACGTCAATAGTGGTGTTATTAAGTACAAAAGGTTCTGTAGTACTTTTATACGACAACACTTTAGTTTTTGATAGGAGATTAGAATCGCACCAAGATTTAATGGTGTAGTCACTGGATATAGTATTATATAGTGCCGTAACATCTGGGCCGCTCCAAGTGAAACTAGAATCTTTAAGTATCGTCGGCAAAGAGGCAGATTTTACCGCTAATATTTAGATTTGCAATGTCGTTGGTAAAGACCAGAAACAAAATAGGGCCAATTACTGAACCCTGAGGGACACCACATTCTATAGGCTTACAAGAAGACAGACGTATCAATCTTCACAAGATGCCTTCTGTTGCCAAGATATGACTTTAGCCATTCGAGCGGATTGATAGTGGATGAACTACTAGATAAATTAACTCTAGCAAGAATACAACGCATAGAGTATGCAGATGGCATAGTCATGATCGCTCGAAGGGGAAAAGGAAGGCACCATGTGTGATTATCCAAAGAAGCCAACTATATCACTGAGCATCAACTCATACAAAACCGCGGTAGTGCCTTTCACCAGAAAGCCAAGTCTGAAAAATTGATAAGAATCCAACTAGATGGAAAAGAAATACTGCATTACAGGAAGTCAAATATCTGGAAATAATCCTGGACAGTAAATTTCTGTATAGAAGGCATATTAAGAACATTACCAGCATACCAGCAAAGCCACAAAGGCTCTCATGATATGCAAAAGACTGGCGATAAATAGATGAGGCGGCGGCCCTTACATTTTGCGTTGGATGTATACCGTGATAGTAAGACCCATGATTACTTATGGAGCAGTTGCAGCTGCACAAACTAGAGCAACGTACAGCAAGGCAAAACCCGTGCAAAATGCAGGGACTAGCAAGCATTCCCACAGTTGTTGCCTGGACCTGGTGATCTTCTATTTTTCAGGGTTTGGGAAGTTTGTTTTACTTTGTTTTGCTTCTTTGGTCAGACAGCCTAAAAATTGATGTTTATCAGCTCCAACCAGGCTCCAACCCTTGAATAAGAAGACTAAGGAAGGAGCATATCAAAAATCTTAGGTACACCGCGATGGGCCTCAAATATGGCCGACTTAAATTCCGATTTATCAGTGCCGTTCTAATTTTATTTAAAAAATGTAAAACTATGATGTAGGGTAGACATGGGGTAGACTCAATAATGTGTTATTTTATTTTACGTTGTGAATAAATGTTGGTTGTTATTAAAATTGTTATAAAAATATATAATTCTAATAAAAATAGATAAGTTATAATAAGTATTTATTAACACAAACATCCGATACGCTACTGAAGCAGGTAAGTCAAATCAGTGCCTTCTATTAAAAGATCAGCCTACGGGCGGACTTTTGTTTACTTCATCAGCTGTACATACTTAGATATTGGGTTAGATTCTGTATTCATATTTTGTCGGTTGATTTTTAGTATTATTTGTTATTGTAGTGCAAAAAACTAATTATTTTGGTGTTTAAGTGACATAAAGTACTACCAGATATATGGTCACTATGATGGTCACTCTGTTTCTCATAAAAAAACACGAAATATTACACGTTTTGTTAAGTGCTTTAACCTAAAAGTGCCCATAAATTTTTTATTTATCGTGATTTTTGTGTGTGTTTTTTAAGACTCTAACAATTCATCAATAAAGCTTAAGTGGAGTGTTTTTTGGTGCTATGCCTCATCTTTGTTATGTTCCTGGTGGAAAGGATAGTTATACTAGGCAGCTTAAAGTATTCAGAAGAGCAAGAAAAGTGGGTACGAGTTATAAATCAAGACAATTCTATTGAAAATATCTTTAATAAACTTAAAAATGATATTCTCCCAGGATGGTATTAAAGAAAACTGAACAATTATGTTAATTTTATTCTTATTGTGGAATCTCCACTCCAAGTGTTGTTGGTTCAACTTCGATAGATTCAAACACGTAAGTAGGTATTATGATCTAGGGAAAAATAAAGAATATGTGTATTAAAGATCATGAAAAAGATTATTATTTTGAGTTCAAAATTAAAAAAGATTTTTGTAAAGACAAGAATGATAAAGTTTAAAAGAAGAATGTGTTTTTGTTTGATAATTAATGTATGTAAAGCATAACATATATTTGTTCAGTAATTTTTACTGAATAGTGTTGATTATTTATAATACCAAATTAATATCAAATATTTAAGTGATGGCTGAATACAATATGAATAAAATAACAATAAAATTGGTATATTTGCAATACAAAATTAAGTTTTAAGAATAAGGTGTTACTAAAAATATACTAAGAAATTCATATTTCTTTGTTTTAATTGGTCTAATGTTATTTACATTTTACGTAAGAATTATACCGTATCATCGAAAAAATCGGCGTCTAGTTGGTTTGGAAATGAACATCGATGACATTCCCTAAATAACTGTACACATAAAATAATTAACTAGAATTTTACAATCTTGAAAAATTTGATATTCTTGAACCTTGATTCTAAATATTCTAAATTTTTTTGATTTTCTTGAATTTAGGTTCAAAGGGAAAAACGCTGATTGATTTTTTCATTTGGTTTTTCGTTATTTTTATTTGGTTTAAAACGGTTCGGCTAACATTATAGCCTCCATCAGTGTTGTGTCATATATGAAAAAAAAAATAGTGTCGAATATAATCCAAAAATTGCATATAAAATATTCACACCAAGCACATAATGTTTACTGCGTACTCCATAGTCAATGTAGATAATTTTAGTGTTAAGAATAATAATTTTAAAAAATATGTGGTCATCTTTTGATAAGTTTATATTAGTTTATTAATTGCAGTAAACATTATGAGGTGTGAATTATATTGTATATGTAATTTTTGGATTATATTTGACACTATTTTTCTCATATGACACAACACTGTGAAGGCTATAGTTAGCCGAAACGTTTTTTAAACCAAATAAAAATAATGAAAAACCAAATGAAAAACTTAATCAGCGTTTTTTCCCGAACCTAAAAATCCCAAGAAAATCAAAAAAATTTTAGAATAATTTAACATATATAAAATGCCAGCGATCTTCATTTCATAACCATCGCTGACGCCTTTTTTAGATAATATTGTATTATTTGTAAATATAATTTTTCGAACATTGATAATTTGCAAAATATACATATAAATTTTGTGAATGCAAATAATAATACATCACTATTAGTAGATATTAAATGTTTTTGTTAAATTAGATCGATTTTCAAACCCCAAAATTTAAAATATATTTACATTTTACCCATTATCTTATGTACCTATACATTATTTGTACATTGTAAAACATTTGCTGCATTTGTATGGTTCATAGTTTATTTGCCAAAGTATTTATTACTATAAATAGGTATATATGTTGTAGTTATTAACTGTATATTATGTATATTTTATTTAGTTCATTATATCATATTTCAAGATATATCATTTTTAAAATACAAACCAAAAATCTGAGGAATAATTATGTTTTCCATGTATTCTACAACATATTTATTAATCCGTTATATCTAAGTAGCGTGACGTCATAAATCTCGCCCGTAGGCTGATCTTTTAATAGAAGGCACTGGTCAAATTAACGTATCAAAATTCTTTGACATCTGATCTTTGACAAGTAGTAAATAAAAGCTAAAATGCAAGAAAATATATAATTTCGTTAATTTAAGTGAATTTCATAAATGATCGGTTTACTACACGTATGTATATTATATAGTCACTTACTAGCGAAAAGTTGTTCCATTATTTCACTCAATTTTTGCCGAGATCTACCGCACGCTACACAACCAACTATTTTAGAGTCTTTTTCGATAAATCGCGATAGTGTCACTGTTAATTTAAGTTCTGCCACAATTTCCATCTAGATTTACTACCTTTACTACCTACTATCAGTAGTAGAATAAATAATAAATAACATAAAATAAGCTCCGTAAAGACTGACAAATCCACAAAATTTCAAATCAAATTCAAATGTGTCAAATGAATCGTCAAACAGAACTGTCAAGGATCCCCACACTAGAGTCGTTTTTCCGCCCATCATGCATGAATACAGGATAGCATTATGCTCCTTCCTTAGTCTTCTTATTCAAAGGCTCCAACTAATAATTAAATTTGGTTAGGAATATGAATTAAAACAAACGATTACAATTTTTATATATATTTTATTCTCTCCCTCAGGTTAGTCTTGGGCTACCAAGTCGACCGCAAGGCTTATGTATATAATCAATTCTATAATTAATAAAATATGATCTCATGTATACAGAACAACAGCAAAAAAAAATCCAATTTATAACAATAAAGTCCATGCCCAGTTTTGGCATCGGTCTCAGTCATTTTTGTTTAAGCTTAATTTATTAAAAACAAATAGGTACACCTTTCAGAAAAATAAAGACATCTTGCTAAACAACAGTGTGAAATAAAGTACGGTCATGATAAAAGAAATAGGAAGGCACGATACACTGCCTTATTCGTAAATGCAGAGATGTTATGATAGGAATTTAAAACGAAATTACGCAAACGTATCCATACCCGTAAAACAATTTTTTGCGCGAAAAAAATAAAATTAATCTTAAATTATTTTCGTCGTATAAAAAAGTAGACCGAACATTTACAACTAAACAATATCATAACGTCTCTACCATAGAGCCGGTTGTAGGCCGAATGTCCGCCCAATCTCGGGAAGACTAGTATATAAAAAAAGAAGTTTGTTTGTGTGTTTTCAATCAGTGTTCCGAATCGAGGATCCAGTGTCGTCGCCAGGCCTATTTAATGCAGCAAACAGTGAGGGAAGAGGACGAATCCGCTAAACGACTTACAAACTAAGGTTAGTACCTTAATTTTGGCAAATACCGATCCCATATCTTCCTCGTTTCCCCGTCGGTACAACTCGACGGGGCGTTATTCCATTGATCCTACACCGCGAATTAACAATAAAATATCTATGAAGGTGAAGGAATAGGATGAATGGAATTGGAGAAGAGGTGCGAATCTTTTAGCGGCGATGGCCCCAGGCACCAGCAACGGGCGCGGCCTGCGAGGGCTGTTCCGCCCCGCGCCCGAAGGCGGGGAAGTCGGTCACGCTGGCCGTGTTGGGGGCGTTCTGCTCCCAGGGACCTCCTTGCACCACGAAGCCGTTACCTGGCTCGGTACCGTTGGGAGCGGGAGAGGAACTTGAATTGGCATCGAAACTCAGCGTCAGAGTGCGCAGCTTCTGACGGGTTTCCATTTCTTCCATGTCTTGAAGCTGCAATAATAAATATGATTAGTAATATGTCTATCAGTGCCAACTGGTTCTAAACGGCATGTGCCCACTCTACTATAGTCTTGGTGCATTTCAACCGATTTTTCAAATTTCCGACGGCAGCGCTCGGTACTGCAGAAATCAGAATTATCCAGCTAACTTTATTCATAGATAAAGGAAACAAGTTTATATTGGAATGCTCGGCTTGCCGCCAAAACTTATAATTGTTTTGGAGCGCATACGTTGTAGGGCGCTGCTATAGGTGTTGCTATGAACAATCGCAAACAAGAACAGAAATCATTTTCTCTTGTCAAAGTCAAAATCTCCAAAAATTATAAAATCTTTCAAAAATTTAAACCGCCCTAATTTAAAAAATACCGAAAAATGTTTAAAGCGTCCATTTTTAAACTATAAAATTCTCAACAAAAAAAACAAAGTTTGTGTGATATAACGCAGTAGTAAAAATTAAGTGAAAAAAAAACGAACCCAAACTGGGCGTCACGTAGTGTTGTGACAATTTAAAATAACAAGAAAGTTGCCGAAATTGCGTAATTGCGTTGTTGCTGGGTGCAATAACACTCCAATACAACTCTCCCGGAACATTCTACTTCCCAGCTTGATCACACCGATTTGATCAAAAGCAATTGTAGAGCAGTTTAGAATCAAGCGAGTAAATAAAAGTGCCCATTACATAATCAAAAAATTAAATAAGCATATATTATGAGCATAAAATATAATTTAATCAATATTAATGGTACACTTCTTTCTGATAAACTAGTGCTTAATTTTTTTATGAACGTCATCTAAAATTATAATTATGCATCTTAAAAATTTTTGTTACACTCCAGATAGTCCCAGTTGGTAGGGTCTAACCAAAATCGGTACGTAAAGATCTTTTGTTCTGAATGTTCTGAAAATTCTAATTTTTTTCTAGAGAATAAGAAATAAAGAGAAAATTCAGAATAAAGCGTAAAAAAGGAACTGATTGATTTTCCAGCCTATTTTCATTGCGCCAGAAATGGATTTTCGACCTTTGTTCGATTTTGTTCATTTATTCTCGTTTGTTCCCAGGGAACATTCTCCAAAACTAATTCTCGAGCATTTTACAACACGAGCTGCACCTGACTTAATCTTATAGTGAACTATAACTACTAGAGGGATTAAGACAGTGGGGTCCACTATCTCCAGTACTGTTTAATGTGTTTAATGTAGTATTAGAAATAGTTATAAAAGATGCGGGAATCAACAGACCGTATATACCGCCTTCTGTATACAAACCGCTTCTGTATACAGACCGCCTTCTGTGTACAAAAAGACACCAATGCTTAGCCTTTGCAGATGATTTGAGAGATCGGAAAGAGCTGATATCAGTGACCAAAAGACTAGAAGATCAAGCGCAAAAGGCTTATGTTTATGGTTAGGATAGGGATTTTGAGAGGGGAATATGTCTACAAACAGATTCTGAGAGACGGAAACGATACAAGTTTGAGGAAGTAGATACTTTATATCTAGGAACCGTATTTCTAAGGAAACCAAATGTAACTTAGGAAATTGTGGCAAGAATAATGGCAGGAAATAGATGTGTTTGATGCGCACTACAGAGAATTATTAAGAGCAAAACATTGTGAACAACACGCATGTGAAACGTGGACGTTCAATGCAACGGAAAGTTCGAGGCTAGAGATTTGGGAAAGAAAAATACTGAGGAAAATTTTTGAAGAAAAGAAGATAGACAACATATGGACCAGAAGAACAAATGAAGAATTAAAGCAACTATATCGGGCACCGAGTATAACGGGAGTAGCAAGAGCACAAAGACTGAGATGGCTGGGACACATTGAAAGAATGGCTGAAGCAAGAGTTCCTAGTATGATAATGAAACGTAAAATAGGTGGAAAGAGAAGGAGGAGTAGACCGAGAACCAGATGGAAAAAGGATGTTTAAGACGACTTGAGAAGGATAAGAGTGGATGGATGGATAATAAAGATGAAAGACAGAAACAAATGGAGAAAGATAACCAATCAAGCCATGAGCCCTTTAGGTATTTAGAGTTATTGTATATATATATAAAACTACTATACTTAACTATTTGTAATTTATACTTACATATTCTTCAGCCAGATTGAGCAAATGATCACGAGCCTCGATAATATTATCTTCCTGGCCAGAAACAATTACCAAATTGGGATTTGACGAATCGCTTCTCGGAAATTTAATGTCGACTTTAAAGTCGTCCATAATTCTTCTGATGTTACGACCGCCGCCACCAATCAGACGAGAATGGACGCGAGCATCGATTTCGAATTCTTCTTTCACTTGTTCGTCCAGTTCTCTGACAATTTTCAGTATATCATCTCTAGCACGGTAGGTGTTGTTCTCGTAACCGGTAATAGTAACAATATGTTCGTTCTCGTCGCCTGAAATTAAATAAATCACGCTATAAACGTTTACTAATTGTAAAGTATAAAATAATCAAAAGGATATGTACTGGGTGGCGTATTTCCATAATATACCATGTAGAGAGCATAAGGTCTCGAAACCCCGCCACCAAGCTTGGTTCATTCATTGAAAATATCTCTAACGCGGTATAGAATGGAATAGGAGAATGGCGCTAAATATGGTATAGTATGGAGTCGAGTTCTCAGCGTTACAACGTGATATAAGCTACGTGAGCATTTTTAGTCACTTCTTGCATTTTGCGTTAAATTAGCCAGTTTGCAATGACATGATATATTGTGGAAATACGCTACCAGATGGCTAACTATAAATGGACGTCAGCTGTATCTCAGAAACTACTTATCCTATAACTTTAGGAAAAAATTTGTACTAAGTAAATCGGCCAAGAGAAATCGCTGGAAATTATTTTGAAGTTCGAAAAATGTCCGCTAGGGGGCGCATCTATTTAACGGGAAACAAAACCTCCTATTTATTCTTTTTATGTAAAAGCGCAATATCTGTTATGATGTCAAACAGCGGCCTCTATCTACCACAAACAATATATGGAAATTAAATTTATACTGGAGATTATTAAGAAAAAAAAAGCTCTTTTAAACGAACCTTAGTTTGTTTAAATCGGCTAACCTAAACCAGAGTTATCCTTATTTTAATAAAAGCAAGTTTAACCTTCCCCCACCACTTTATTTTATGGGATAGAGCAAAATACGCTATACCAAAAAAACTTACAAATTTCACAATGATTACAATAGCAATATTTAAAAAACTCTTCACCTGTATATTTTTGAGAAAAATACTGTTCGGCCATCACAGAAGCGCTCCCTAGAGGACATTTTTCGAACTTGAAAATAATTTCCAGTGATTTCTCTTGGTCGATTTATTTATTACATTTTTTTTCTCAAAGTTATACGATAACTTAGTTGGCTACCTGGTACAACATATATACCGAGTGCGTCTCAAAAGTGGCTCACCCCTATAACTTTTTTTATTTTTTCAGATAAAAAAACGAGATTTGGTATGTTAGTATATGCCGTAAATTTAGATTGATTGACGTATTCATGTTTTCGGTCACTTTCTGTTTCACCGGAAATGACTATAACTTTTGATTTTTAAATGGCACCCTCTGTATTTTTTTACTTTATTCAATAGAAAATGACACTGAATAGAATGACATATGATATGTCAACTTTTGACATTGTCGCATTATGGTTTTTTTTGAAATTGTAACATGCGGTTCATAACGACAATTTGACTCGAAATACCAAGTGTGTGGTATCAAATATGCTAATGAGCCACCCTCGTCCCATGTGAAAAACTTGAGTTATGATTAAAAAATATGATATGGGCATCTTTTATCAGGCCAGGACAAGACACGAAAAACATTAGACGATCAAATCTATTTTTCCAAGGCTCCTTGATTAAAAAGTACTATTTTTAACACAGTCGTGGCACTCTAGATTGAAATTTAAAATACAAATTAAAAAAAATATTTTTAAAGCAAAAAAGCTGTTCAGAGTGTCATTTTCTATCGAATAAAGTAAAAAAAAATACCGAGGGTGCCATTTAAAAATCAAAAGTTATAGAAATTTCCGGTGAAACAAGAAGTGACCGAAAACAATTGAATACGTCAATCAATCCAAATTTATGTCATATGACATAACAAATCTCGTTTTTTTATCTGAAAAAAATAAAAGTTATAGGGGTGCGCTATTTTTGAGACGCACCCGTTATACAGGGTGTCCCAATATTCCGTAGACAGAGCGCCACTAAGTATTTTTGGAACCATAATAAGTTAAATGGGCACATTTTACCTATATACAAAAGTGCTTCGTTTGTCCGTTAGAGATCATCAAACTGTGCAAAAATAAACACACTTTTTAAAGATATTTTAAGAACCGTTATTTCAATTTGAATGAGATTTGGCGTGCCTATGGTTTCCTAAATGCTTAAACATTTGACCTTCACCAAATTCAAGAAATAGTACGGGAAGGATGTAAACTACCCCCACCTCTACATAAACTTCAGTAGAAATATTTTCCAACCCCACCGACGCGACGGCCAATTTTTCTTCTTAAAATTGTCCTTATAGTGTTTACTACATTTTTTGTCTCTTGTAAAAAACACCACCGAGCATACTATTTGAGAAAAAAAAAGGTTTTATAAATTTACATTTATATTTCTAAAAATGTTAATACTGTCAGCAATCACATACCTAGATGTGACACACTAAATCCCAATATTGCAACAAAATAAAAAAAATTAAGGTAAATTTAAAATTTGAAGTAATACTAAGTTAACGCAGAATTAGAAACGCTCAGAATATTATTCTTTAGTGTCGCCCTCTGTTACTTATCCTTTAAACTTGCCTTACAGTAACATAATAATTTTTAGGCGCTTGTTTGACTCTCCTACTCCTAATGAATAATATGGAATTTAATATGAAGTTTATTTTTTAATTAAACCCTTGGTGCGCGCGTTTTTTTTTTCATTTTAAAGTTATGTTTTGATTACTTGAATTGAAATTTATAATAAAAATCACTACATTTAACTGCAGTTAAACACCGGATTATATACATATGACAATGCTTACCTTTCTTAGGCAAAATAATCTGTACATCGTGATCTTTCCTGATTTTCGTAATCACTGCGCCTTGTTTTCCGATAACTTTGGAATGGTAGTCGGGGTTTATTTCGATTTGAAGAGCGAACGACCTCAATACTCTGTCTTGCTTATCTGCTTCTAGCTCTTTCACGCGATCCAAAAGCGCTTCTCTGGCGTCTTGCACGTTGGCAGGAGTTCCCGTTATTTTTATAATATCCTCTTTGATTTCCGTAGAAGACAATACAATATGTACGTCAAATCTGTTCATAAACTCTCGGACAGCCTGTCCCTAAAAAAGCAAAAAAAAAATGGGTTAGATTTTATTCCAGCGGAACTATCTTTTTGTAGATAATGTTTCAGTGAAATTTAATGAAGTTTCTCACTCTCCGTTTCGAAGTACATACTAAAACTAAATATTCTAAGCTACTAGAGATGGGCAAAACTGTTATTTTTAGATAACAGTTGAAACTGTTATAGTTATTTATCAAAAACAGCTTAAAATAACAGCTTAAAAATAAAGGTTTCTTTATTTTACTGCTAAATATCTGAAAGAGTATGAGGCGGTCACCGCCAGGCGTATTAACGCAGTTGCAAGTTGCAACAATGACGTGCTTGGTGGTAGTATTTCCAGGGTGTCAAAACATTTCTAAGTATCGATTGTTATCTAAAATACCTCCCTAAAAACGGTGGTTGTTTACAAATAAGCGCCGTTTACAAATTGCGATATAAAAATCTCCGATCTACCTACGCCCTGCCCCTCGATCCGCGTAGATCCTGAATTGCGTAGCAGTGTACAGGGTGCATCTCACTCGACGGACGAGAAGCTCTTAGTCATGATTTTACCATTTGCGGTCAAAAAAATAGCAATATAAGAAAATGTGTAGTATATTCTTCATAAGTAAACCAACTACACACTAGAGTTCAAATTAATTTTACACTTAAACTAGCATGTACCCGCGACTTCGTTCGCGTCGAATTAATAATTTCTAATGGTAATGATAAAGCAAAACAAGAATTTCCATTAACATACAAACTGGATAAAATTTTCTCACATTTGCCAAAAATAAGCTTTCTAACGTCGAGCAGTTTAAGCAGAATTGTGGTTAATCAATTACTCAACTTTTTGGAATGTATGTGTATGATTTTTTAAAAAATTTCAAAATATGTAAAAACCAAAATAAATTATGCGTGTCCAGACGTTTTCCCGAAAGACTAACCGTTTTTTAAATAACAAATATTGTAATATTTGAGGGGCGTTTTCACCCTGTTGGAATTTGAGATTCGAGAAACCCCTCCTTATCGAACCTCAACCCCACAGTCAATCCGTTTGCCAAAAATCAGCTTTAAACGTCAAGCAGTTTAAGCAGAATAGTGATTACTCAATGGTCATATTTTATGAAACACCCTGTATATATTTTTAAAAATCTTAAAATATGTAAAACAACATAATAAAATATACGTGTTTTAAGAGTTTTTCCGAAAAACTCACCGGTTTTTAAATAAAAAATATTCTAATATTTGAGAGTAGTTTCACCCCCTTAGAATTCGAGATTCGAAAAATCCCTTCTTATCGAACCTCTACACCCTAAAGTCAATCCGTTTTCCAAAAATCAGCTTTTTACGTCAAGGGCTTTAAGCAGGATCGTGATTAATCAATGACCAGATTTTTCAAAACACCCTGTATACATTTTTAAAAAATCTTATTCTGAAATTTTTTCAGAATAAATAAATACCTAAATATTGAAACTTAATAAGAAAGTACTGAAACATACAGCGCCATAATATCTCGACCTCCGCCCGTTATGCTCGTAACAGGTTGAAACAGAATGTATCTAAAACAACTGATGCATTATTCTCCAATCTGTTTCGAACCTCCATCGACAATCGACCAATGCAGCAGCGTTCCTTTCCCACTCCGATTATCTCGACCGCCGCCCTGTTATGCTCGTAACAGGTTGAAAAACAACGTATCTAAAATGACTACTTCTCCAACCCGTTGCAAGCCTCCATCGACAATCGACCGATGCAGCAGCGTTCCTTTCCCACTCCTGTTATCTCGACCGCCAGGCGTTATGCCCGCAACTGTTTCAAAAAACCTGCTTCTTTTATATCCTATTATTTTTAAGCTGTTGCAAACCCAATACGACCATCGACAGTATCGACCGAAGCAGCTACGTTCACCGTTGTCCGTTGTTCCCCACTCCGTTGTCCGTTGTCTCGCCGCCTGTATCGATGGTTGACGAAATAACATGTTTTCCATCCATACTAGTTGTTTTTTGGAATTGCTTCGAGCAGCATAGAATTTCGTGGCGGTGCAGAGCGCCGACTTCGTTTTACGTTTCACGAGCGGCCGATCTCTACGTGTCGTTATTTTATATCTGTTATTTTTTAGAAGTAGTAACGGTTGCGTTATGTTATTTATAAATAATTGTTATAAAATAACAGATAGTTAAATAACAACCCATCACTATAAGCTACACAAGTTACATTACAGAGATAAAAAACAGATGACAAGAGAATTTAAAAAAAAATGTGCATGCACTATGTGCGCGTATTTGAAATGAAACTTCAACAGCTATTAAATTGAAGGATTTGAAGGACATATTTGAAAAAGTGTAGTTGAAAAAATTGAAAAAGTAATAAATTAAGAAAATATTTTTTATTGGTTTATTTCATAAATGACAGATCATATTTCAATTTTATTGGTTTGACGGAAGGATGAACCGATGAACGACAAACGGACGCCGATGCGTATGAACTCGCCTTTAGATTTTTGAGGCTTGTCAAAGTTTTGCCAAATTAAAAAATTAAGATTAAAGTTAATTAATCAACCTTTGAGGTGTAAAATTTGGTAAGTGTTATTATTAATAAAATAGTTTGTTTTATTTATGATGTTTTATTTATTCCTGTGGTATATGACAAATTAGTATTTGTACAAAAGTTATATTGATAAATATAATAATAACTGCGGGAAGTTTCTTGAAGCTTGAAAGTAAGAAATAGTTCTTTTTTATATTTTTTTTTGGTATGTGGTGTTTTGTTCTTGTTTGTTTTGTATTAACACATATACAGTTTTTTAAATACTATAACTCGATTGCATTTTTTCAGTTTTATACAGTTTTGTTCACAATATTTTGAAGTAATCACTTATCAGTCAAATTTTAAACATATTAATTTCCTGCTATGCGTTCTCGTTGTACCAACTTATTTCTTTGTAAAAAAAATTAAACTACTTTGAAATTAAAATGACCGACACATCTAGCACTGTCAAGGATCTTGTCGTTGGACAGACTATACATGCTTTACATGGTGGTTAAAAAACATTTTTTAATGGAAAATTGCATTACATTTTTTACCAATTGTTTGATCATAAAACATTTTGATCACACGGAATCAAAGACAATAAAAACTAAAAATATTTCAAAATATCAAAAAGCAACAAGTCAATAATGAATAATATTTAAAAATAATTATTTATGGTATATTAGAAGTATCAAAAATATTTGTTACCTTTGCGCCAATAATTGATCTGTGCATTTCAAACGGAACATCCACTTCAATGGTGACAGGAACCAAGTCCAACAATGCTTGTTTAGCTTGAAGACAATTTGTGTCTTTGCCAGTAATCCTTATGATATCACACTGACGAATAGGTTCGGCATTAACGTCGCCATTAGTAAGTTCTGAGTGGTATTCGCTCGTATTGTCTCTAAAAGTTCAAACAAAACCACTTTATCTCAAAATCAAACGATAAAATTTGACATACCTATTCGGAAACTTAATTTGCACATCAAAATCTGACGTGACTTTTTGTACTCTGAAACCCTTAGTGCCCATGACAGTTCTGTGATGTTTCTGAGGAATAATGCACTCGATAGTAACCATAGATTCCAAATCGGATATGATCTCATTGATTCTCTGTTTGGCTGCTTCAATGCACTCTCGTGCTCCTAAACAATAATTAAGTAATCAGAACTTCTCTATTGATCAATTATTATACAAAAATTAAAAATTCTAAACACAGCGACCAATAAGTGGATTTTGTATAATTCAGATCTAAATAATTCAGAACATCTTAGAAATAATATAATTAATTCTGAGGTAATTTGACATCGTTTTTCTCCGACATTTATAAACTACAAGTTTCAAAATATATTTTAAAAAAAAAAAAAAAAAAAAAGAGAAAGATGACACAATATCCAAATATGTCATAGATAAAATGTCTATACTCTTTATCTTACAATTGTAAATCAATATCTAAAATCAATGTTTTTTGTCGGATGGACCCCAAAACGTCATTATTAAAAACTGTCATAAAAACAAGATGTCAACTTCCAGTACTACACCTACTTGAACTTTTTGTACCAATTCAAAAAATACAAACAAAATAAATTTGTTTCCCTTAATTAATACCATTAATAATATCGTCAAGAACATATTAACGCTAATAAGGTCATATTTAAATAATAAAAATAACGTCAAAATAAACTGCAAAGAACTAAAAGTCTTAACATACCTTTAAGCGTCACTTTATCACTGTCGATTCCCCGATCTGGGGAGTATATCAAGACTCCACCAATAGTCGTCAGCTTATTTTATGAAGAACTTCCCCACGTCTCGCAACAAAGTGTTTGTGATGCTTAGGATCAACTTTTATATCATCCTCGATGATGTTGTCCTAAATAAAAATATATAGATAATAATTTAATAAATCCGCGTGGCTTTACTCCAAATATTTAACAAAAAGACTAATAAGTAGTGCTTATAGTTAACTCCAGCTAACTATAAGTTGTTTTTTTAATAATATATTTCCTGATGGCCAGGTCTTCCAAATCCATGGTCTATATTTAAACATGTAAGATAATGATGGAGATACCATAATGAAAATTCAAACGTGTTCGAAGAAAAATATTAGAGTATTGATACATTTATTCCCATGCGGTAATCTCGACATTTTCCATTAAAAATATTTAAAACCAATCAAGAAATAGTTTCGAGTATACGGTCTCTGGTATTTTATTTCTGTATTGTGAATTAATGCATATGACAGTATGTATATATACCACTAGTTGACAGACAGAAAGACAATAGAAAAAGCGGTGCGCTAGTATTGCTAGTTCATAAGTATCACAACACAACCATTTAAATTAAAAACTTTAATACAAAACCAAAGTGTCAAATGAATGGCAATGTCAGGAAATAAATGCAATGGGGAAAGCGACATTTACAGCAGAGCTACCAATTGAATCTCCAGGGGGTAATTTAAATTCCAGCACAGACAAGGCCGAATATGTTCCCTGGTTGGTAAACCATGAATTTAAAAAAATCGCGACCTCGATTACGTAACTAAAATTTAATTTAAGCATTGAATATAAATATTCATTGGTATGTTCAGATTAGTTCAGAAATAATGCTAGTAATCGTGTTTAAGGTGTAAAGCCTCATTCAAAAACTACGCAGTGCCATGGGCTACACCACACAGAACCAATAAAATTTGTACTAAATGGGCCCTTTCACCATATTTTGGAATTCGCATAATCGAATAGCAAATTAATTTTAGAATTTTCTCTACATCTCACTTTCGAAAAACTTGAAGTCGTTCTTAAGAAAATAAATAAAACAAAAGATTTTTTTTTTTTTTTTTTTTTATTTTTAATACGTCACACCTGGCATGTTGAAAAGCGGCAACACCGCCACCATGCTGACCCATTTAAAATTTTTCCAAATTAAAGCAATTTTAAGGGTCTATAAAAAAATTATTCAATGTCATGGAACTATTTTTTTGAATAAATATACTGAAAATAGTCTTCTATTTCAGATTTTGTCCTTGAATTGTTTTATTTTTTTGCAGAAAGAGCCCATTCAAATGCTGTCAATTTTGATTTGCTAGTGCAAACTAACAACTATGATTGTTTTTATCGCCAGCGACACAACGTAGTTCTGAGACCAAGGCTTAATAAGAATCTATTATGGCTGTAGTGAAGTAAGTAATTAATTGAATCGAGTAACTAATTGTGGAAATTCTAAGATTCAACCCTAGATTTTTTGTAAACGCTTACTTGAGCGGTTTAATATTTAGATGCAAAACTGGCAATACCGCATTGAAGAAATGCATCGATCAAACTTTTCTTTTAATACAACTGATTTTTCATTAATATGTCTCCATCACTGTCTTACACATTAAAAATTCAGACCACGCTTCTACAGTGACCAAATCTGTGTATAAAATCATTAAAGAATTAGACCATTAAAAATAAAAATTAAAGAAATTTTATACAGTTGGCTAGCGTCCGTCTCTAATATCTAAATATAAAATACTATTTTACCTCCTTCTTAGTTTTTTATTCGATGACTTAAAATAAATGTTTGATAATTTGTATTTGTATACTTACTATGTCTTTAATCATGGCTTCGAGTTGTTGTTTGGCGTTTATGACATCCTCTTTTCTACCTATGATTGTGATTACTTCCCTATCATCATCAGTATTAGATGGGAATATTACTCGTGCCCCAGTTGAATCACGAATTTTTAATATTGGCAACCATTTTACCAATAAGGAATTTGTGATGTTGGGCTTCTAAGTCGCACCTAAGAAAATCAGAAAAAAATACAGATAAGCATTCAACAATTCTGACGTAAATGAAGAAAAGTGCTAAAAATCATATAAGATTATTATAGCTTCTCTGTGACTATATTATTACCTCATCTGTATAGCTAGCAAGTTGTCTTTCACTCGCCAAATCAAGTAACTGTCTTTTCGCTCTATCGACGTCATCCTTTGGTCCACGGATAGTGACTTTATCGCTTTTGTCGTCGGCACCGGGAAATTTAATAGTGACCCCACCACAATCTTCCATAATGGAATGAATTAGTTTTCCTAAAAAATGTATAACACATTTAATTAACATCACGAAAGTGATTTGCGAAGCAGCGTGACATATCTGTCTGACCGCTTACCAGAGAGCCGTATTTGAAAAAGCTGTTTTTTTAAATTACTAATGATACCGGTAATATTATCGATTTATAAATTACCGATAATTCTACATCACTATGCGCAACCTTATGGGCGACTTCGTGTCACAAAACTCCGTCCGAGATGTAGCTGGCGTTACCATCAGCCTGTTCGGGAATTCCGAGATTTAGTTTAGCTCTGTGCCGCTGCACGACACGCTGATGCGTTTACAGCGCAGCGGATAAAAATACTGTACCGTAGCAGACCGTAGTTCTGCTTTCAGTCGACAGAGCGAGTGGTTGCCGGAGGCAGTGTTGCCAGAACTACTGATTAATCCGTAGATCTACGGATCTTGGGTACAGTAATGTTAATAATACAAATTTTCTATCATTAAACAATATTATGAATAAACAAAGAAACGCGAGAGTTGGTTTGGAAACGAAGATCGCTATTACTTCATATGTAAAATAATATGGTAAATGTCATTTCCAAGCCAACTAAACGACTTTTTCGATCATACGACATATTCAGTAACTATAAGGCCACATCCATAAATTAAGTCACACGAATTTTAGGACTTTTGAACCCCTCCTCCCGTCCTTGTCACAGGTTGTCACATGTTTAGAACCCTCTCCCCACTGATGCAAGTATTAATGTTAAAATTAAATTTTAACATGTTACGTCACAAAACTTTAAAGTGAAACACCCCATAAAATATTTAAAAACAAACTAAAAATCAAAAACAGTATCCACGACAAATTTCTGTGGTAATTACGCCGCGCTGGTTGTGGTAATAGGCAAGGCTGAATCCATTGTCCTCGCCTTGTATTATATCTCGATCTGCCGACTGGACAGATTCCCGTGAATTAGTCTTTTAATAGTTCCTCTATGTACGGATCCGATAACATACGGTTGGCACTCCCCACGCCTGCCTAGCATCAATCGCGCTGGCTGATCCATACGTAAACTAGTCTTTATTTAGTTCCTTTAGTTCCGGATCCAATAACATACGGCATAAGGCTAGCACTCCCCACTCCTGCCTAGTATCGATCGCGCTGGCCCGATCCTTTCGTACGTAAACTAGTCTTTATTTAGTTTCTCTAGTTCCTCTAGGTCCGGATCCGATAACGTACATCTGGCACTCCCCACTCCAGCCTACCATCGGGCTACGCACGCTAGCCGATCCGCCGCCGTCGCATATTATTTTATATCGGTCACAGTCTCGATCCCGGAAGCGTAATAGGTCCGGAGGAACTAGTCTCTTTGGAAAACCAGGAACTAGTTCCTTTCATTCCGGGTCGGAATAGCTCCATTGGAACTAGTTCGTTCAAGAACTACACACCTCTAACGCAAATAGGATCGTCCGATAACCGTCAAATCCCGGTTGGAACACATTTGAATTACTGCGCACGAGCGTGATCGTTCGGTGATGGTTCTGCGGCGGGTTGGAACAAAACCTACTATGTCAGTTAATACTGTGATACCCTCCTCCCCCCCGTGACGTAATTTATGGGTGGCCCCTAGGAGAATTTATATTTTGTTGGTTATCTCTATGTTAACAGGAATAAATTTTCAATACAATGGATTTGACGAAAATATCTTGGATTTTTTATCCAAAGATATTTTCGTCAAACATATTACATATATTACACATTTTAATGTATAAACTCGATGGCAACCAGGGGGTGACAGTGAAATAGGAAAATTGGAAACAGTCATTAGTGTCATTCCTGCCATTCTCCTCACGACAAGTATTGCCGCCTAGACAAGGACAGCATTGTTTTTGTCTAACCATTGTCCAATCCTCACAGTTTAGAATTGACAGATTTCAGTTTCAGAGACAACTTCAGATTTGTTCTAGAACAAATTCGAAAATATTCGACGCCATTTTAATTCATTCCGTTTAGTTTCGGTTTGGAAGTTCAATTTAATATTTAGGGCTGAAATTTGTAAATATAATGGTAATGGTAATAAAGTATATAAAATATATATTACATGAAGAATCCTGAGAAAATGACGTTTCTGCAGTAGTAGGTATGTCCCATGTATATGAAAAATAGGTAGTAAATAAACACTGTTTCTGTATTTTTTAGATGCAAGAAAATGGTGTTATAATATCTTTGATCGGCGATTTTTCTTGAAAAATGGAAGCAATTTACAAGGTTAAGATCATCTTTAACTATAGCCAACATTATTTATCCCTTGTATGTGTGATTTATTGTCATTAATGCAATAAATCGGACTGATAACTGATTATGTTATCCCATTTAAAAGTCCTTTTGGCTTCTTTTTTGACTCTTATGCTTGCGGCCCCTTTTGGGAATAATGGATCTTTCTTTAAACAGTATATTTATATTTTATACCCATTGGATATTTTACATCGTTAATTTTAGTATAAAAAAATTGTTTTTCTGTTTTCTGGTTTCTTTTGTATAAGGCTCCTGTTTTCATGTTCCTGTGTCCTTTGCTCTTTCTCTTGTCCTTTGAAGTCTGCGAATACGTGTGTTTATTTACAAATTACTGTAAGTCATGCTTATACCTTAACTAATTTACGTTAAAAGCGCATATAATTAACTAATTGGTATTGAAACAATACAATCCTTTCTATATTTTTATATTTATTTAGTCATGTTGTTCCATATTTCCAAATAAATATATGTGAATAAATAATTTTTGGTTTTATTTATGAAAAGAAAAAATACAAAATACATTTGAACTGAAAGAGGACCCGCCATTGAATAACCGGAAACGGAAATGAAAATTAAGCCATCATGTCCTTATCATGTCAACCTGTCAATTGGAAAATTAGTTTTCCAGGCGACAACGAAGGCTTTCGGTGGCGTATCGTGTTTCCACGATTTAACACAGAGTTGACACTTCTTTCTAGTTAATTATTTTATGGGCAACATTGTTGCTTTCAGATCCACACCGTCTTCGATTTGCCTTCGCTGGCCGAATTAGAGAAAATAAGTATTTTATGCATTGACCGCAGAACGATTGTGTGGTGTCTCCACCATACAGCACTTGAGACGTAAGGGAAAATCAAATCAGCCTTGTCACGAATTCGCCCATTAGGTTGCGTATTGTCAAGAAAAATGGCGTATCCGCCAGAAATTAAAAATGTATTACTGGTTGCCTGCACAACCGCAACGTATCCGCCAGAAATTAAAAGACTCTTTTCTGTGGCGCCATCTTTAGTCAAGTCGAGAAGGAAGGGAATCAGACAATGGAATTGTCTGGTATGAAGAAGTACGCTTTCCGAGAATTGGGGAAATTTCGAGAAGCAGTCAATAGAGTATATAAGCCGGAGCCATCGACAACCGAGACAGTTTTTGAAATTTGAATATACCGCGTGGAAATTGAAAATCGGACAATTTGGGGAAGGAATCTTATAAATAGTTAGTTTGTTGTGTGTTATGAGTTAGTAATTGTGTATAAAGTGAAAAATAAATTCGTTGGGCATTTTATCGTGAGTTTAAATTAGTGGACCCTCGGAATCCGTAACAATTGGTGTCGGAAGTGCGATTCAACAGGATTTTAAGAAGAAATTAAGTGGATTGGAAGATTTTAGACCGAATTAGAGTATTTTATGGTTGGTACATGGGAGCAAGCGAAGAAAATGGAGGAAGTAAGCAAATTATTGGCGATTTTATGGAGAATATGAGAAGAGAGAAGGCAGAAGAACAAGAAAAGACTCCGTAAAGAACGAGAAGAAGAGCGAGCCCGATTAGAAAGAGAAAAGGAAGAGGAAAAACTACGACGTCAACAAGAACAGGACCGGTTTGAGAACATTTTCGAAGATTTGAAAGTTCAACGACAACAAGAGACAACAACAAGAAGAACAGGACCGGCTTGAGAAAACACTGGGTAATTTGGAAATTAGTTTGGAGGAGCGACGTCAAAAAGAAAAACAAGAAGAACAAGAAGAACAGGACCGTATTCAGAAAATTTTAGGAAATCAAGGAATTAGACAAGAACGGTTGGAGAAAATTGATGAAGATTTAGAAGTGCGTCGCCAGAAAGAAAAATATGAAGATCAGGACCGTCTTAAGAAAACTTTGGAAAATCAGGAATTTCGACCACAGAAGAATTTTGAAGACCTGGAAAACGACAGGAGAACCATTTCCAAGAAGTCGTGGAAGATCTGGAGGAGCGCCTTCAGCAGAAGATAGAAAAATTAGAGATGGACCCACAGAAGACCAAGGTACAAGTATGGACACCTGGCGTTCCGGGAACTGCAAACCTCAAGGCCCCGACCTACGATGGACAAACGACATGGACAATGTACCACTGTCAGTTTGAAGCAGCCGCCGCTACCAACGGATGGACCGACCAGGAGAAAGCAGCGGCACTTGTCATCGCGCTGCGTGGCCCCGCCCTGGAACTGTTGCAAACTATTCCTGCAGCCCAACAGCAGGAATACCAAACATTGGTCGCTGCATTGGACAGAAGATAAGGCGACCAACATCGACGCCAACTTTACCAGGCCCAGATCGAGACACGCCTGCAGAGGTCCGGAGAGAGTCTGCAGGAATTTGAAGCAGATTTACGTCGGCTGGTACACCTGGCATATCCAGAAGCACCGGAAGGATTTAGGGAGGAACCCGCTGTTCAGTGCTTTATCAGCGGACTGAGGGACAACGAATTGCAGAGGGCGCTGCAAATATCCTGATTTTCCACCAGCAGCGAAGCACTGGTCAGGGCGTTGGAAATCGAAGCTGCCTTTAGCGCCATCCCTAGACCGAAGATAAGATCGGTACCGGTCGAGGAACAGCCCGAAAGCACTCACAGAGGTTTGGAGGAGATGTAGAAAAGTCGACAAACTATGTGAGCTACTAACAAACAAGGGAGTCAACAACACCTAGACAGAGAACCAGAGAAGATTCCAAGACATAAGGTGCTTTAGATGCGGCAGGAATGGCCACATTAAACGGGATTGCCGCGTTCAATGCGATCCCGTTCACCATCCAGAGAACGTAGGCACCAGGAAAATTAAAATCAGTCAATACTAAAGGGCGAGTATTGACTGGGGAGAACAGAACCCCCAGAATTTCTTCCATTAGGAGTCTGGGAAGAACCGCTAACAGTTTGGTGATCGACGGGAAAGTCAACGGAAAGGGAATCCGAATGAAAGTGGACACTGGCGCTATGGTTTCGTTGGTGCGGGCTAACTCAGTGCAGGGATTGAAGCTGATGCCTCTTAGAAGAAGAGTATATTTACGTACAGTTACGGGGGAAATGGCCGTTGTAAGGGGAGAGGCTATCGTCGAACTGAAGTTAGGAAATTTGAAGTTTAAGCATAGCGTCTTAGTGGCTGATATTGAAGATGACTTTATCTTGGCATGGATGTGATTCGTCAACATGGATTTTCGTTCGATCACCAGAGAAAGATCCTGAATATCGGAAATGAAGAGTTTATGTTAACTCCAGACGAGGGACCAGGAAGAATGGATGTAGATCAGCGGAAACTGTGGTGATACCTGGTAATACCGAGAAGATCGTATTCGGTAAAGTGGAGAAAATCGCTGTGTGCTGTGTTGGACTGGTACAAAGTAGCGACAACAAACAGGATAGGTACTTAGTAGGAAAATCATTGGTTAACACCGACAAGAATATACCGATCAGAATTGCGAATGTTTTTCCGAATTGTGTCAAGATCCAAAAAGGCGACAAGATAGCCATCTGCGAACCTGTAAGAAGTGTCACCAGATGTGATGAAGTGTCGTCATCTGTTACACAAAAGGCATCCCAAGAAACACCAAAACATCTAGAACAGCCATGGGATCACCTAACATCTGAGGAGAAACAGAAGGCCAAGCAGTTCCTGCTAAAGTATGGCAGTATTTCTTTGAGAAGAACAACAGTGGAAGAACGGATTTTGTGAAGAACCGGATTAATACTGGTCATGACCAGCCGATTCGACAACGTCCTAGCAGGGTGCCCCTTTCCAAACAACAAGAAATGGAGACAATGGTAGATAAGATGCTAGAAGATGGAGTTATCGAAGAATCATCGAGTCCATGGTCATCTCCTGTTGTTTTGGCGACGAAGAAAGATGGTAGTACACGATTCTGCGGGATTATAGGAAGCTCAATGACGTCACTAAGAAAGATAGCTACCCATTGCCACGTATAGATGACACATTAACAACTCTCGCAGGTTCGTGCTGGTTCCCCACTCTCGACTTAAAGAGTAGATACTGGCAAGTTGGTCTGGACGAGGAAGACAAAGAAAAGACGGTTTTTTCTACAGGAAACGGACTATACCAATTCAAGGTCATGCTGTTTGGATTATGCAATGCTCCAGCCACTTTCGAACGTCTCATGGAGGTGGTGTTAAGAGGATTAACTCGGAAAACGTGCTTGGTTTACCTCGACGATGTATTGGTTATGGGAAGAACTTTGAGGAGCATTTGCGAAATTTAGAAGAAGTCTTTGGCCGCATACGGAATGCTCACCCGTACTTGAACCCGAAGAAGTGTATCTTATTCCAGCGACAAGTGGAATCCTTGGGTCATGTAGTCTCGGTAGACGGAATTTACACCGACCAGAAGAAAATCACTGCGATCAAGGATTGGCCTAAACCTCGCGACAAACATGAACTTAGAAGTTTTCTTGGTTTATGCACCTATTACAGAAGATTGGTCAAGGGATTTGCCAATATAGCTGCACACTTACATAGACTTACAGGTGATGAAGTCGGCTACGAATGAAACACCGATTGTGATGTAGCCCTTGGAAGACTCAAGGCGGCTTTATGTTCAAGTCCCATTTTAGCCTACCCACAACAACAAGGGAGGTATATCCTGTATACCGACGCCAGCAACATCGGCATCGGTGAAGTGCTATCACAAGTGCAAGATGGCGAAGAACGAGGGATAGAATATTACAGTCGAGTTCTATCTAAACCAGAAAGGAATTACTGCGTTACCCGGAAGGAGCTGCTATCAATTGTAAAAGCAGTTGATCATTTCCATAAATATCTGTATGGCCAAGAATTTTAATTAGGACAGATCATGCGGCTCTCAAGTGGCTGATGGAGATGAAACAACCTGAAGGTCAAATAGCACGATGGCTCGAGAAGCTCCAGAAGTATCACTTTACCATCCAACATCGTACTGGAAAGATGCATGGTAACGCAGACGGTTTATCCAGAAGACCCTTTCAAACCGATTGTAAGCAATGCTGTAAAACGGAACAACGTGAAGGCACTGTCATCATAAGGAGTTTTTGCTTGGAACCGATGAAAAGTGGACGACGACACAATTGAGGAAAGATCAAATGGAAGATCCAGACATCGGAGCAATACTATGGCTCAAGGAAGGTAACGGCGAGAGACCACCGTGGTAGGATATTGCGGACAGAGGGCCCGTTTTCAAAGCTCTCTGGGCTCAGTGGAATTCACTGGTTATTGAGAATGGATTGTAAAAGCGCACATGGGAAAGTGCATGGCAGGACAGTAACAACTCGGTTACTGGTACCAAGGAAGAAAGCTACCTAGGTAGCCGAAGAAATTCACCGGTGGTAAACTGGAGCCCATCTTGGAGTAAACAAGACCTTGAGCAAACTGAGAGATCGTTTTTACTGGGCGGATTATTGCGAAGATGTCAAGAAATGGTGTCGGCAATGTAAAACTTGTGCAGCCAGCCAAGGACCAAGCACCCGCTCTAGGGGAAAATGAAACAATATAACGTTGGACTGCCATTTGAAAGAATCGCTGTTGACATTGCAGGCCCATTCCCTGAAACGCACAAGGGCAACAAGTACATTTTAGTAGCGATGGATTATTTCAGTAAATGGCCAGAAGTTTTTGCCATTCCAAAACAAGAAGCATCGACTGTAGCTGAAGTATTGGTCAATAATTTCTTCAGTAGATTTGGAATTCCTTAGAGCTTCACACTGACCAAGGAAGGAACTTCGAGTCAAGACTGTTCCAGAAGATGTGTGATCTGTTTGGTATTCACAAGACTAGAACAACAGCTTTACATCCGCAGTCCGATGGGATAGTCGAGAGATTCAATAAGACCATTGAAGAACACCCCTCTCGAAAATGGTGTAATGAACATCAAAGAGATTGGGATCAACACATACCGCTGTTCCTAATGGCATATAGAAGTGCAGTTTACAACACCACCGGACTTTCACCATCAAAGATTTTATTCGGTCTAGAATTACGGTTGCCTTGGTGTGTGACTTGGCGTTCGGATCACCAGACGACGGCACCACAAATATAGAGGACTACGCGGATGAACTGAAGGAAAGGTTAATGGAAATTCATAAGGCCGTGAGGAGTAAGATTACGCTAGCCAGTGACCGGCTGAAAGCTCGTTACGACCACAGAGCTAATTCTACGGGATTTCAACAGGACGATATGGTATGGTTATAAAACCCACAGCGCAAGAAAGGAAGGTCCCCACAGTTAACTCCAGCATGGGAAGGTCCGAAATTTGAATATACCGCGTGGAAATTGAAAATCGGACAATTTGGTGAAGGAATCTTATAAATAGTTAGTTTGTTGTGTGTTATAAGTTAGTAATTGTGTATAAAGTGAGAAAATAAATTCGTTAAGTATTTTATCGTGAGTTTAAATTAGTGGACCCACGGAATCCGTAACAGTATCTTCTCAATTCTTTCAATCAACGGTACAACTAATAAAAATACAAAAACTGTTTTGGGAAAATTAGTAATTTTATATTTTTTTAATTAAATAATAAAAATATTAAATATTAATTTTAAACAATGATTTTTTTATTAAATTTTATCAGGTTTTAATAAATAAAATACGAGTTGGTCCGACACGAACTATGAACAAATATTGTCATTAAAAATGTCAGTATGGCTCTTTTTACATCATACTGTATATTTTATAAGTAAGATAATCAACATGCTGTATTTCGGTAACAAATATTATTACTTCATTGTTTTCAAGCATAATATTTATAATTATAATTATTTTATATATATTTTATTTAAAAACACTTTACCTTTAGCGCCAATGAGTGAATTGTAAAATTTAGGGTCGATAGTAATTTCCTCAGAAACAATGTGTTCCAGTTTGTCTTGAATTTCCTTGATTTTTTTACGCGCCTCCTCAACGTTTTCACGTTTTCCTGTTATTGCAATGCTGTCACTTTTATCACCTTCGGCTGGTAAATCAATCCTTGTATTCGTTTCCTCCCTGATCTTTTTAATATTTGCACCCCCTGAAAAACAGAAATTTGAATATTTAGTATATAAAAAAATAAGCATCACAAATATCCATAATTTATTTGAATAAAACATGCTTTAAGATATTTCAAATTTAATAAATTGTATATTTATGAAAATGACAAATAAACGTAAAATCAAATTATGAACAACTTTTCTCTTTGAATTTTTTCAATATTTTGTCATCTAACCCCGGTTTTTTACATAATGAATTTTGTAATTTACCGCCATGATAGTTATTTGTTGTTGGGTTGCCAAAGAAATTTCATATAAACTTTCTTTTAAAAACTCAAAAATAAAAAACAATCTCAAGAAACGAAATAGTAAAAAACGGGTTGGAACTTTTTCACACATACTGTATATAAGGTATGTATTTAATCACTACAGTTGAAATCACCTGTATACTCATTCGGTGATTCCAACTGCAATATGTAGTTTGAGATAGAATTAGTGATGGGAAAAACCGATTAATTTCAATAATCGAGTACTCGAGTTTCAAGCGATTTCAATAATCAAGCGATCGCTCGAGCGAAATATCGCTCGTATGTTGTACTCGTAACGCCAAGCAGTTAGTTGCGTGCGCAGAGCACATATTGGGTCGTAAAATTTTGTCACTCAGATACGCAACGGATAACGTCGTATAAATTTGCTATCTGCATGTATATAGAAAATTCACTCGGCTTTTTATCGAGTATGTCACATTAAAATTGGATTTCAATTTATTTCATTCTAAGATCGCTTGCGTTCGTCGCTCGTAACTTGCATCGCTCGTTCATAATCGAGCGATGTCGATCATTTCAATAATCGAGCACTCGAGCGAATTTTCGCTCGAGTTATCCCATCACTAGATAGAATAATCTGTATACTTTCGACTGTGGTTACCGTAGAATAAAAATATTCTATTGCATTATTAACCTCAATATATCAAATACGCTAGGCCAGTAAATGAATAAAGAATTTCAAAAGTAATGAAACTAGAATCTAAGTATATTGTGATATAACAATAAAAAATCAGTTAACATACCTTTTCCAATAATAAATTTGTGGAACTGCTTATAAATTGGTACTTGGATTTGATATGAAGATTCGTTTAGCTCCTTAACCTTCTTCTCCAAATGTCTCACACATTTGTCAACATCTTCTTTTGGTCCTCTGACTTTAACAATGTCATTTCTTTCTCCAGGATTGGGGAAAGTAATTTGAACTTGATTAAACTGATTCTTGATTTCCCTAATAGTCTCTCCCTTAGTACCTGGAATTCATTTAAAAAAAATATGTAAATAAACCAGAGTGTTTTAAGCTTCATTCAGGACCTCCAAATTAGTGGTTTCAATTAGCGTAGAAGTTTATTCCTGTAAGCATTCAGAACGTCAAAATTAGTGGCAGGAATTTTAAATTAGTAGACAAAGTTGACAAACTTTTAACTTTTTCCTTTAATTAGACTTCAAAATTTGCGAGTGATGTAATTTTCGGTCAAGAAAAATTGTGGTTAGTAATCAAAAGTTTGTTTTATAAGCGGATTATTGTCTAAGGATACAACTGACTAGCACAAACTGTTGCTAGGATATATATGCTACAAATTTTAATTATAAGCCAGTAAGCCAGGGTTTTAGGGTCCGAATTCTGAACACCTGTACCGATTGACGTGAAATTTTAACAGTGAATAGAGATATATGTAAGAAACAAAAGTTATATAGCAGCGATGTGTGCTTTCACCCTGGGGCAGGTACTAACAATGGACTCTGCAAGTTCGAGCGGTTCAGAATGCCTAAATTTGGAAAAAAGTCGAAAATAATGAATTTTTTATTTTTGGGTAAATTTTAATTTTTTGGCATATCTCAAAAACTAAGCAAGATATGTAAAAAAATCAACAGAGTAAAAGTAAACATCTTTTTTTGCAATATTTTTGCTCTCTTTCAATTTTTCTGTAGATCTCTTTATTTCGTAGATATTACGTTTTTCTAGTTTGACTTGCGTGTATGGACCACCTTCTTTGAACCCTTAAAACCCAAAAACCTTGTAAAAATGAAGAGTTCAAGACTGTTCAACTATAGAGGTTAATTTGTAGCCCGTGTAATTTCCTACAAATTGATAGTTTTTATTTTTATGATTTTAGTCATAGATATTGTAATTTATTTTCCGAAAAAAAGGTGACCATTTTATTTTTATCATAACTCCGCGAGTTTTTGAGCTACGAACTTGAAAAGACATTTTAAAAAAACATATAAAAGGTCTTTTCAAACACTTTTTTCTTCTTCGAACACGAAAAAATATGTTCTTTTAAGATTATTTTAGGGTAAAAGGTTGCAATTTAATTTTCGAAAAAGAAAAAATCACCTTTACAGAGTGATAACTCGGCTATTATTACACCGACGGTAATCAACAAAAAATGAATTGAATTGTTATTCCAAAAGCTTCATTTTTGCTTTATATGAGTTTTGCGATAAAACGCAAGGTTTACGAGTTATTTAAAAAAAATGGCAGAAAAATATGCAGTTTTTAGATGAAAAATCAACATTGTCAATCCTAAATAACTCGGAAAATATCAAAGTTCTGAAAAAATGTTACAGAACATTTTTTTGCTTAGAATTCGTCCCTTTCTTGATTTTTACAATTAAAATGGGTGATTTATTTTTCAGCCCCGAGAAGGGGTGGCACTCACCCCCAGGGTGAAAGCACACATCGCTACTATGTAACTTTTGTTTCTTACATCTTACATATATCTCTATTCACTGTTAAAATTTCACGTCAATCGGTGACGTGATCACGTCAAGAATTCGGAGGTAATACCCTATTTTTATCCTCGCTTACTGACCTATTATATTTTTTATAGATTGCGAATGATTGTAAATCGTAAACTCTTAGGTAGAAGGAATAACTGAAACCAGAAATTTATTCCACTAATTTCGAGGTTCTGAATGAAACTTAAAAGTAGAGGACATAAGAGAAACAGAATATAGTTGCGATAATTACCAATAATATTTCTGAAGTGCCGCTGCTCTATGATAACATCTCTTTCTTTTTCGTTTTCTAATTTGAATATTCTCTGCTCTAATTCGAACTTTGTCTTTTCGACATCGTCTCTGTTTCCTTCTATGCGGACCAATCCACTTTCGTCAATATTGATGGCTACGTTAAAATCGTCTTTCAGTTTATTGACATTGCTTCCACTTTTACCAATGATATGCTTGAAAAGCTTGTTATCTACTTGCAGCTCCACAAAAGACATGGTCTGAATTAGGTCGTTAGCGATAGCTTCTATTTGTTCCTGTGCCTTTTCAACCTACAAAACAAATATTTACGTAAACACTGTAACACTGTTCAATACTAAACAGAGTAGTTTTCATTGTGGAAATACAATATGATCGAAAAAAAACCGCGTCAGCGATGGCTATGAAATGAAGATCGCTGCCATTTTATCCCAAGTAGCATTTTTAGACACAAAATCGAAACAAAATATCTGCAGAGAAACATTGCGAAACAGTTTCGTGACATTTCTGATACATATGTTTCGTAACATAAATCGCTTTTTGTTTCAAAATATTTTACCAAAATGTGGTTTCGCTACATAAGCTATAACAATAAAGATCTTAATGGCAGAAATTTTTCGAAACTTTTAAGAAACAGATGTGGCTCACATTTACAGATTTCGTACCCGTTTTGTGCCTGAAAAGTTTCCATAATTTATTTGATATTCTGTCAAATATGAGAACATAACCTTACTTTATTGTTTGGATTTTGTTCTGCAGTTTTTGCATTTAAGCATTCTTCAAGTTTTTATAGTACTATAATTAAAAATGCAGGAGGAATCCTACAAATACAGATATTTTTCTTATGCGATTTTATAAATATTTATTATACGCATTACAGAGATGATTTGTTTTAGGAATAAATGTAATAACAACCACTACCCATACCCAACAGGAGACCGAAAAAAAATGTTACCAGAAAACTTATTTTCTGTTTTTTTTCCACAATGGAATACATGTTTTTATGTTTTAATTGTGTTATAATAAGTAAATAAAAATGTTTTAATTAATTTGACCAGAAGTTTTAATTGGCGTTGTTGGCGGGTGACTAGTTCGAAATTTCTACACAGATAGTGCTTAATCGAAACATATTGGAAACCAGGTTTCCATTTATTGTCAATTCTTTTTCAAAAAACGAGTTTCTCTCTTTTTAGACACAAATATAATATAATGTAGATGATTTGTGTCCGACTCCATGTCAATTTTATAAAATAATGAATTAAAATTCCGCCATGTTGGCTAATGGTAGCGTTTTTAACTAAAAATATGTTTTTATCGGCTGTTGAGCTTTTAAACTCATAAGAACGCATTCTACTTACATTGATTTATATATTTTTATTTTCGGAGCCATGATATAGAAATAAAAATAAAAATCTATATTTCAAACAAAAATATTTTGCAGCAATAAATAATGATATATAGAAAGAGCTGCTCTTTAAGAGCATTAAAATATGAAAGTACATTATTAACTTAAACGATGAATTTGCTTTTGCCAAACATTTTTTGTGCGAGAAAACCCATAGAATGAGATCTTAAGACAATAAAATTATAGCGTAGGTCGACATTCTTGATGGTTGTTTTCATTTTGAAATCCACACAAAGAGACATAGACTATTTTGGTTTGGTATTTTGTTTCTTCACATTTAGAACAGTGGCTGCTGAAAACAGGAACATCTTGGACACAAATTGCAGGAAATGTTTGAAATATTTCCTCAAAGTTTATTACATCACCACATTGGAAACACGTAATAAAGCCATATAAAATATATAGGTTTCAGTATTTTTCCCTATTTGTGGCATACTGTTTCCATTTTGCGTCAAGAAACAGACACGATTATTAGAGACATTATCTAAAATGTGTCCAAAAATGCTATTTGGATATACATCACTATTAAAGAAGTATAAAGTATTTTCAATTTAATTAGCAAGATTAAGTCCAGCCTGTTTTTTCCTATGCCAACTTATTTTCATTAAAAAATTTTTTTTTTTTTTTTTTTTTTTTTTTTTTTTTTGTATAATAAAATATAAATCATTGTTATAAAATAAAATTTTCATAATACCACCTCTTCTGGTGGATCCCTCAATCTTAATCCTGTCCTCTTTGTCGGTAAATTCGACGTGTACTTTTGGCAAGTTTTGCGTGATTTCCTTGATTCTTTGTCCTTTCTTGCCGATAATGTACTTATGCAACCAGGATGGCGCAGCTACGTCGCTAGAGCGCACAGAGTTGGCCTTTTCGTAAACGGCGCTAAGGGCTTGACCTAGCTTATCTTGGGGTCCCCTCAAAGTGATCGTACCTGTTGGAGAATCGCTAGATATGTCGGCTTACTTACATAGAAGTGTTTTGAAGGAGTTTCAGCGTACTCTGTACTTTTTAATAATAAAAAATAAAAATAAAATCAATTTTTTTTTTTTTTTTTTTTTTTTTTGAAAAAAACTAAAATGTTCTTGAATATGGATTTGTATTTAGATATTTTAAATAGTTTTTTTCTTTGTATATTTTGCTTCCGACGACGGAAGAGATATATACTTCCAAGAACGTTAAGCATTTTTTTTTTTTTTTTTTTTTTTTGAAACGTTAAGCATTTCTGACAAGTTGGTCTCCATTGAATTAACGCAACAGTGTTTCAGGCCTTCTTTGTACATGGAGGATAAAAAAATTTAGAAGAGTGGGATAAATATCCGATGTTTTTGGATCAGGCATATACCCAATGGGTAAATACAGGGTTCTTCGAATTTGGATAAATACTGTCAAAGTATGGCGACATCTGTCGGGAAGCGGACAAAGAAGGAGAAAAGCGAGTTTGCCAATCAACAGAAATTTCGAGAGACAAAAGAAATAGGACAGAATTCTAGAATAAAACTTTCGAGAAGATCTGCAGCGATATACAGAGATTTTCGTGGACATAGAACTACTACGTATTTTGGAATTAAAATAATTCCATTGGTTACAATTTACCTCTATACAAAGAGATGCTTTGTTTGTCCGCTAGGGGGCATCAGAACATTAATAAAGTAAACACATTTTCAGATATTTTGAGAACCACGTTATTCTACAGTTTGAATGCGATTTTGGGTGTGTATGTTTTGCTAAGTGTTTTAACATTTCATTTTCACAAGAAATCAAGAAAAATTACGGGAAGGGTAAAAACTACCCCCAATCTACCTTACATTTTAGGTATAAATGTTTTCCAACTCCACCAACATGACAGATTTTCTTTTCATAAAATGGTCCCTCTAATTATAGTATATACTACATTTTTGTCTCTTATGAAAAAAACGCCATCTTGCATACTTTTTGAGAAAAAATTTTGGAGAATTTATTTTTTCAAAGTTTTTTTTTAATTATATTTATACTGGGTGTTCCAATATTTCGTCGACTTAGAACAACTACGTATTGTTTGATTCAAAATGAAGTTAATTTCACATAATTTACTTTAGCACAAAAGTGCTTTGTTTGTGGGTGGGGTAATTAAGTAAACTTCCTGAACGTTAATTCAAAATTTATTAATTTTTTTTCATCAAATAGGTTAAAGCCGTTTTCGGAGAATTATGAGTAACAAAAGAAAATTATTAAAAAAATATATTTGCCGCTCTGTATCTCACGAATTATCAACTAATTTGAAAATCTAAAAATACTCTCAGATCGTCGTAATAAAGTGGCTATGTGAGAATGGCATTAGTTTTTGATTTTCTAAAAAGTAACGACAGGAGGAAAAAATAAAATTGATTTTCTAAAAAATCCGTTTTTTTTTCCAAAATTCAGAAATCCTTGAAATTTTTAAAAGTTTCTTAATTGCATCTTGGTGAATATCCCAAACCAAAACTTTCCTCCAATTTAACCACGTTCGTATCTATTATGGTTACTGAGCATAGATTTAGTAAGAACAGATATCACATTAGACATTTTAACCCGATCAAACAATCGGAGGTTGACTACGTACTGTAAAAACCAACTGAGATAGAGAAGGCGACTTTGCCGCATCTCAAATTTACGCCTATCTACTCAGTTTGAATTGCAGAAAAGGTGACTTAAAACCTTTACCGGATATCAATAAATCTCAATTTCTTAATTAAATTAATGATTTTATTTTTAAAGAAAGCATGCTGCGTTGTGATATATGTTATTAACCAGGGGATATATGCGTTACTATTAAAGGACATGTTTATACTGTTTAATGTGCTGAAACGTCTAGAACTATTGGCAACGTCGCTGATAGTCTTCCAGAATGAAATGAGTCGTCCGTCCCACCACCCTTCGCGATGGCCCTTGGTCCGTTATATAGCGTACTACGTTTAGCTTGCAGTGTGTTTGAAGTCGGAATCAAGACGAAAGTGAACTTTCAATGTTTTTTCGGTGGTTTTTGTTTTTGTTTAACGTACTTTTGAATCTACGAATTCAGTATGGTACGACAGTGTCAAGTGTGTGGAAAAATAAGCTCAAATTACCAGAATTTGTCTTTTCAGAGGTGGGTATTGTTTTCGTCATTGTACATAGGCGTCCCACAGAGGAGCCTCTCACAATCAAATAATTTCTAATTTATATTTGTAATTAATCTATTAAAACAAGAACTTAGTAGTAATGTGAATTGAATTATAATTCGTATCAATTACTACCTAACTGTTCAGATCATAACAAATTTGAACTAAATTTGAAATTTTGTTATATTGCATTTGAAATTTTATTATAAGCCAAGAAGAGGCATTTTTTTTTTTTTTTTTTTTTTTTAAATTGTGTCATTTCTGGTCATTATATACGATATTCCAAAGGAATTTTGCTCAACAAATAAACAAGGTGTTACCCGACCTTTTTACATTTTATTGCTTTATTATATCTACCCCTTCAGCCTTGTTTAGACAATTTTTACCACTGTACAAATACCTCTCCCTAGAGTTATTTGTACGGATTATTATTCCTACTTTTTTAGAATGGGACAGACAGTAAATAATTCTTAGGCTACTAGTTTTATACATACCTATACAGAGTGACCCAGGCCTCCAAAAAGCTTTTTACCTATTACTACTAGCTGCTCTCGCCATCTAGCACTCGCCATAATGGTACGTTTTGTACTCAAATGCTGGCCTTTCTCTTTTTATGCTTTTCGTTTGTCGAATTGAGGGTTACAGCAAAGTCGGCCTGACGATGGAGATAAATCTCGAAATCGGTCGTCAGATGGCTGTTCACTGATCCAGATGAGCAATGCAGAGAATAAGCATATATTTAGGGGTTAGGCCTTAATAATTTTTTGCTTCTTGTATTTTTGTTTATTTATACAAATCCTACCAAGCCTTGAGCTCCATCTACTGTAACGTAGATGAAGCAAACAGAGCGTATTCATTATTGTGGGCAATTACATACTGCAACACACACATGTTTGATACTTTTAATGAATCAATTTTCAATTTTCTCATTAAATATTGATTTTAGGTATTGGAAGTTATTAATAATACAAGATTAAACAACTTATTATTACGTAGTACTTTACAGGAAGCTATCGATTGCAAACTAACTAAATCGTTACCTAATTATTATTTTTGAAGTTCTTTTTAAGATCAAAAATGGGTAAAACTAAAACCCTAAACTCTCATTTCGGATTAAACAGGAAGTTCCTAAATAATGTTGCCTATTCTAAACAAGAAAATTTATTTATAGGTTTTATAACACATCTAATTAAATTTGGACGAAATATAATATTTCTGTTTGCTATTGGTAATTTTCTCAGGAAAATTAAAAATTAAACTTTTAAGTCAAAAAAGTCAAAATACAAGTTATTCCAAAAGGACTGTCCTTTTCAAAAGGACAGATTTTAATAATTATTTCTGGATAGAAATTTAATAGCAAATCTACAACTTTGGTTTGAAAATATGTTCCAGCCACCTATGTTTACAAAATGTCTATAAAAATTAAGCTAAAAAAAAAAAAAAATTGAAAGAAGAGTCACCAACCACAAACCCAATATAGAACTGTTTCGGAAGCCTGAGTCACCTTGTAAATATTCAAAAAGTAACTGAAGGTTTATATAGAATTACATTTATTTAGAATGGTGGATTTATATTTAGATTTATTTTTATAGAATTTTCGAAATTGTACTAACGTTTCAACATGTAGGTATATGTGGGATATTAATTATATTATTATATTAGACCTTATAACAAAACTCATCTGACATAAAAGTGTTAATGTAGTATATTAATGGGTAAAAGATTTTACTAATTACTTTACTTTTACTTTACTAATTAAATTCGTTCCAAAAACGATACATACACTATTACATAGGGAACAATCAAATGGGCCTATAGTCATCCAGCAGGAAGATCCTTGACAGTGATAGATGTGTCTGTCATTTTTAATTTCAAAGTGGTTTATTTTATTTTACAAGAAATAAGTTGGGTACAACTGGAACGCATAGCAGGATATATCTGGATATATTCAAAATTTGATTGACAAGATGACAAGTGATTACTTCAAAATATTGTAGAAAAAAAAAACTGTATAAAACTGAAAAATGTAATCGAGTTATTTTATTTAATAAAACCGGTATGTGTTAATACAAAACAAACAAGAACAAGACCCACTACATACAAAAAATATAAAAAGAACTATTTTACTTTCAAGCTTTATGGGAGCGCTACCAGCATTTAACAGTTATATTTATCAATATAACTTATGTACAAATACAAATGTGTAATATTCCACAGGAATAAATAAAACAACATAGATTAAATAAAACAAACTATTTTATTAATATTTTTTTTTTTTTTTTTTTTTTTTTTTAAAAATATTTAGTTAATTAACTTTAATCTTAATTTTTTTAAACCAATTTTTTTTTTTTTTTTTTTTTTTTTTTTTTTTACTAAAATCCATTATTTACCTATCGTGTGATGTCGATATTTATGTGTTTAGTATGTGTATGTTTTTAGTATGTGTTTGGTTTGATCCTTCTACCATATATGAGATGCACTTATCTACGACGGGATGGTATGCACAACAGAGCTTTAACAGTAATTCATTAGTGTATAAAACTTTCTGCCTGGGTAGCAAGTATTAACCATAAACTGTACTATGGGTCTACAGTTAATTTTTCACTCGATTTTTCCTCAACTTAACTTCAAAAGACAAAAACCACACACGTAATAATGTGCAGATCAAAGAGTACATCATCTTCAAAACACTAATTTATTTAGCAAAAGTTGACACAAAATTATAATACCTATGAATTTGTAGAGACTTTGACAAGTGTCAAAAGTAATATGCAAGGAAATCTAAAGGCGAGTTCTTACGCATCGGCGCCCGTTTATCGTTCATCGTCCCGTCAAACCAATAAAATTGAAGTATGATCTGTCATTTTTTAAATAAAACCAATAAAACTAGTTAAAAACGGCAAGACACGACGTATGGCGGATTTATATTTAAGCCCATCCATAGATAACTTAAAATTATTAGAAACTTTTTTTTAGTAAAATAAATAGATTGTATGGGACGTCATCTGCATTTCTTCTGGCCATCTGCTGATGCAGAAATCTTACCTGAGAAAAAACGGAATTATAGTTGCCAGGGTCGGAATTTTTAGACTTCTCTGTCTCTTCTGTCCTTGTCTAACACATTGGAATGTTTGAAACACTACCAACGAGTATTTATGAATGAGGATGTTGGGTCTATATTTATAAATATCTTTATTTGAGATACCAATGCTCATTACACCCTGGAATCTGCTTAGCACCCTGTATACCAGTATATACTCCAAGTATACTTATTTTGTTAATTTAATAATTTTTTTTTTTTTTTTATTTTAACATTTTATTGTTATCTTACTTATCTCACACCACCTTACTCCATCTTACCCCACCCCAATAGCTTACTAGTGTAAGTACGTGGTGGGTTTGGTTTGGGTTGGTCAGGTTTTTCAGGGGTTTACAAGAATATTCCTCATAAGTGCATGCACTTTCACCTTCTAGGTGCGGTATAGGCAGGAATGTTGCATAAGATAGTGGGCATGGTGAGTTAGAACATAGGCATGTGTTTGTGACAGAGGCATGGTGGTGTTGATCAGTTAGCAGTGTCGCAATTTGGGCAGATGGTATCTGTGAGTTTGTAGGGGCAGTGAGGGGCAGAAGTGTCTGTGCAAATTCATTCTATGAACTGTCTTCCATTGCTAAATGACATGATGGCATGGGCAGCTTTTGACAGGCAGGTGTACAGTGGCATTTGAGGTGTGACTTGCAGAATGTTTGGGAGTGATTTATCCCTTGATGAAGTTAGAATCGACACACGCGCTATCATTTTTACACATTAAAGGCAATAAATTTTTACCGCAGACGTAGGTTTTAAAGGCCCGGTCCTAGGACGTTTCATGCATCCGTTGTCCAGCGACCCGATGATCTGATATTAATTTTATTGGTTGAATTTAAAGACTTAGGTTTAGTTTAGAAACAACAATCAAACCCAACTAAATACAATAATGGAAATTCATCAGTATTGTATCGTCGGACAACGGATTCATGAAAATCAAGCTTAATGTCTCCGCTCCTCCTACTTATTCTAAAATGTTAGCGTGATTGACTAAGACGATACTATATCGCGTTTCTTTGATTGATTCGTTTTGTGCGTCAGTCCATTTGGTGTGCTTGCAGTTCGACCAATGGGGCATTCCATTTATATTTATAACCAAATATATATTTTGACAAGACTTTGACAGTTAAAACAACAATTTACAACAGATTATATATTTGATTATTATACTTACC